TTAGCTTTTTATGTGTGTATTTTTGGCCGCATGTGTTTAATACATTTTGAAACCTAGAAAATCACCGTCTGCGTAGGCGTGCAAACTGTTTGTTTTATAGCCTCTGCACTGGAATTCTCTTCATTTTGGGTTTAATTGGTATTCTTCTGATACGGATTTATCAAGATTCACTTGCATCGAGGTGGGAAATGGTGTGTAAATGCAACTAAGGTGAAGGACAAGCCAGCTATGCTGCCTATTCCTATATGGACCTTCGAGGATTTTTCCTTAGCTTTGGTTTTATTAATTTCAATTCCCTTATAGCCCAGAATATCCAGCAGATCTAACATGTGAGGAGTTCCCAGTTTCACTGTCAGTGAGTAAGAGTGCAGACTGCTTGTGCTTGCTGTCATGCTGATAGTGCTCCCAATAAAAGCACCGTGCTTAATTGCACAGCCCTTGTGCGCTCTGCCGCAGAGCTCTGGGGATCATTTGCCACGTGGGTTCCTCAGCTGAAGTCCTCCTGTACCCAAATACAGAGTTTTAATCAGTGGTTTACCTGAACCAGAAACCTCCCTGTGGTTTGTGGGGGGATTCAAAGACCCACCTCTGCTCGGGGCGCCCGATGCGGAGCCAGGGTCTGGCCACAGGCGGTGGGAACCTGCAGCAGCAGCTCCGGAGCAGCCCGTTACTCCGAGCTGGATCTGCCTTCGGGCGGCCTTGGAGGCTTCTCCAGAGGCGGGTTCCTGTCCCCGTCCCGCGGTGAGGAGCGGCGCGCAGGGCCCATCCCTCGGGCATTGCTGCTCCCGGTGCCCGCGGCTGCGTCCGCGGCACCGCTGTCATCATGCGGAGCAACGAGATCCCGGCCAGCCCCGGCCCTGACAAAACACAACCCTCCCGGCAGCTCCCTCCAGGGACGCACAGGGAGGGGATTTGTGTCCCCCAGGGAGACCGGCTGGAATATGGGATACATCTCCTCACAGGGATCCCTGTGCGCACGGGCCGCAGGAGCGGCTCGGCCCCGTCCTCGTGAGCCGGACGCCTCCAGGGCTGCTCAGTCCACCCAGGAGCTGTTTGCAGGCTAAAGCACAACTGCCCTCTTGGGGGGTTGGGTTTTCTTTCTTTACGTTGTCTTTATGGGTACCAATGCTATAAATATTATTTTAAATGCAAAAAGAAAACCTGAATGGACCATTCACGCAAAACAAGGAGACAAATTAAACAGCCCAGTGGAATCCATGGGGCTGATCCAGGCCTGGGATTTGTAGCCAGCGTTTCCCGAGCCCACACATTGTGCCATCCACAGCAGCTCCTGCTAGAGGCGCGGGAGCCTCCAGATTCAAGACCTGCCTGGCAGCCGTGGCACGTGTTAGAATTCCAGTGCTTTGGGTTTCACTGCTCCGAGCGCTTATTTCCTGCGCTTTATGTAGGGGAAATATTCCCTTTTGAATGACTTGATAGCCCCTGGGGTGAGCAGTGAGGCCGAGCTGTGGGATGTGCTCCGTGCCTGGAGCTGAGGCTGGTTCCTGCTGCAGGAGCTGCTCCCATTGCCTGTTCCCAGCGCATCCCAACACACGTCCTCTGCTCCCAGAAATAGCTGGTGAGGACGCCGTGGAACCTGGTTTGGTTTTCTTGGGAGGAGGAAGGAAGAGCTGGTAATGTTCTTCCATTGTGATTCAAACACTCGCTGTAATGGGACACTCAGCTCCCGGTGTTCCCAATCAGTCTTGTCCTTTCCCTATTCCCAGGCACAGCATAGGAGGCTCCCAGCTTAGCAAGCTAAATAACTGCTAATATGGGCACCTGCTAGGGCCAGGATTCACTTGAATTGGAGTGGGAGAAACAAACCCACAGTCTGCAGATCACATGGTGGGAGGAATGGCCTGCACCCAGCGGCAGGAATGTGCAAACACAACCGAGACAGCTCCAGCTTTCAGCTCTGTAACGGGGAAGTTGTCTGTCCTGGAATGTCAAACAATTAAGTCAGTCCCTGTAAAACGTTTCGGAGCTGTTTGGATTGCTGCCTCAATCTGCTGGCAGAAGAAGAAGTCAGATCCCTGCTTTGGGGCTCAGTGACTTTCTCACTGACTTCAATAGCAAAACTAGCTGGAAAATGAGCAGTAGAAAAACTCCTTGTGGTGAAACTTGGCTTTCTGTCACGCCACAAAGACCTTTCAGTACCCAGGCAGCCGTGGTAATCTCTCTGCACGCCTGTGTCCTCTTCTGGGAAGTGCTGCTGTGGAGCAGCCAGCCCTTCAACGCGCAGGGCTCCTCTCAGAGCAGCATCCACCGCAGCCAGGTGACCTTCCAGGGGCTTCCCTGGCCCCGGGCGTCCTCCCTGGCCTGCCCTTCCGCCGGCAGCTTGAGGGCACAGGGGATGAGCGCTGGCGTTGCCCATGGGACATGAGCACCGTCCCTCTGCAGGACGTCCCTTTGGGGGCCAGGGCACGGGCTTGGCATGGAGAACTCCTGAGGACAGGGCACAACGGCTCGTATTCTTTGCTCGCCTGTGTTTTATTTGCACTTCTGATCTACCAGGGGCAGCACAGATGGGGTATGGCCTGCAAGGGCCATGTAAGAGAGTGGTCTTTAGTCCTTTGGAGACACTGCCTCCGCTCGAGGTCAGGCCAGGTGGAAGTTCGTAGGTGTTGAAACTGGATAGGGCAAAAAGCCCTGAGCCAGCAGGGAGATGCAGGGAAAAAACATCGTTGCCAGTGGCCAGAGAGGTGAAGAAGGCACCTGGCAATTGCAGACCAGCGCTCAGTTACATCAGAGCAGTGCCTGTGCCCACAGCACCTCGGGGAAGGGTGTGTTTCTCCGGGAACCTTTCCTTGCAGATGCCCGGACACCACCGGAGCGCAGGGGACGCTGCGAGACTTGGTGTTGCTCTTCAGGCTTCTGAAGGCTCAATCACATCTGTACATGTATATTATATATGTATGCGTGTGTATATATGTGTGTGTGTGTGTATACGTGTGTGTGTGTGTGTCTGTGTGTGTGTGTGTATATATATATATATAAAAGAATATGTGGGGAAGCACCACACAGACTGTCACTCCTGGGCACTGACAGCTGAGGAAATTAAAACTCAGAAGTGAAACTGGTTAAAAAACCAACTAAATCAATGTTGTTTTTCTATGGCAATTGAAACAACAATTATTTAACGGAGAATTTTTTATTGCTAATGAATTTAAGACAGTAAGTTTTTACATTTTTGTTTATACCAGGAGCCCTTTAATGCATCTCGTCTTTTAAGGGAGTAGAAGCAGCTGAGCGCGGTCGGGCGCAGTTAGATGAGAGGAGCGGCGGCCTCTGGAGCTCCAGGTCCCTGTACAGTAACATGTCTTTAACAGCATCGCTGTTTGCAGGAAGAGAAGCCTCTGTGGCCAATCCCATCTGAAACAGTATATCTGAAATAGCGAGTGCACCTGGGGTAAGGCGGGAAGCGCAGGGAAAAGCTGCTCCAGAATTGGACTTTATTGTGCAAAGTTATTAGAAAGATTACAAAGGTCACCTCTAAAGTAGAGGAACTCCTATGGAAATGCATAATTATAATGATTATAATCCCTCTCCCTACCACTCCAAGTATATTTTTCCCTTGTAAAACTTAATATGCAATATGGCCTAGAGAGCGTTGATTGCTATCATACCAAGCCCTAAATCCTGGGATCCCAAAATGTTAGGATGCTAAAAGTAGATGTATCCTTTGTGGCTGTCAAACAGCCACTCAGATGATACTTTCTTGGGTGGGATACGGATCTGTTTGTGAGGGAGATTTGGGTTTCTTCTTTTTGGGGGATGGTTATAAGGGCAGAAATAGTTTCTGTCCGTGTCTAGGATTCCTGGGTGTTGTGTCATCCCAGAAGGGCATACGTGGGGTTATGTAGGTTTAAAAAATAAAACGGAGCTGAAGGGTTTGCAGGGGGCAGCTTGAGGAATTCTTTCCACTGAAATACCATCAAGGGCAGAAAATTGTGGAAGCAGAGCTGTGGCTTTGTCTCCATGTTTTGATGTGTTAGTTAAACCACAACATGTCCCGCCAGGGCGTTCAGTCCAGGTCCGCCGCTCCTGCATTCAGGAATTCCTCGGAGGCTGCTGGCGCTTTCTAGGGTCGGGTCGTGCAGGATGGGAGGGCGCCTGGAGCCGCGCGGAGCAGCCGGAGGATCCGCAGGAGGGATCCTGGGATCAGAGCCGGGGCGAGGGCGGCCGGCACCGCTCCGGCCTCTCGGCGCCTCCCGCCTTCTCCCTGCGCCTCCACATCTGCTTTTTAATCCACCGGGGCTCTTCCCTCCCCTGCCCCTCTACTGTATTTTTATAGTTGCTACTCTGCTCTCCTCATTTCTCCCCTTTCACATTTAGCTTCTTCAGAGAATTTCATTAATGGCTGTTGCAATTAAAAATAATAATTAAACTCAGCAGCAGCTGCGCGAGCGGCTGGACAGGGTGTCGGGAGCACAGCGTGGTCTGTTCAGGGCAGCCACGCAATGCAGTTTATCCCCACACCTGAGGGAATGAATTTCACAACTGTAATTGCCACAGTATAATTCTTATTAATGTCGTGCCATAATTCCTATTAATTCCAAAGGGCTAGTAAATGCATTAGGACTTGTCAACATATTATTTTACGCTGTTTATGATCTGGAGAATTACGCTCTTCAGTATTGTATTGCATAAAGAAAAGCCTTAAAAATGCCTTTAATTGCAGGGGGAAAAAAAAGAAAAAGCGTTTTCTGTTCAGGCACTGGGGAAGAAGGAAGGATCCTGTTGTTTGAAGACCAATGAAATTGAATTTTAACTCAGTCCTTTGACCTCTCTGCCACACACCAAGCTGTTTCTGAAAATATATAAGTGTCTGTCTTGGTTACTAGAAAATGAACCACTGGTATCTTTGTGCAGGAATAAATCACTATAACCAAGGCAGCTTTACACAGCTAAAAATTGTATCTGTCCTGCCGCAAAGTAGTGCGAAAGTGGGGAAATGCAGCAGCGTCCCTGCTCACGCCGCTGCGCTGCCTTTGCAGGTAGCGAGTATGACGAGGAGGAGGTGGACTACGAGGAGTCGGACAGCGACGAGTCCTGGACCACGGAAAGCGCCATCAGCTCCGAAGCCATCCTCAGCTCCATGTGCATGAACGGAGGGGATGAGAAGCCCTTTGCCTGTCCTGTTCCCGGGTGTAAAAAGAGATATAAGGTAAGTGGCCAGGCGGAGCTGCCTTATCTCAGCCGCTGCGCTGAGCGGGATAAAGAAACGGGCCTTGAAAATCTGCTGATGCCTCCCCTGTTTAATACTTTCCACATACTTTTCACGGGTCCGGGTGGCTGCAGCAGCCGTGGATCGTCTCGGCTCTGCTCCGGAGCTTCGGCGTGCCAGGGTCACGCGAATCCTGCCGGCATCAATCCAGCCCATGTGGCATCTCCGGACAGGGAACATTCCCGTGTGCCGCCTTTCCCTGGCAGAGCTCAAGGCTGGAAAAGGGGGTTTCGTGTTCTGCGCCACCTGGGAAGCAGCTCGGGCACAAGGGAAGCGTCAGTGCCCATTGCTGCGCAGCTCCGGAGTCAGGGATACGGGGCGTTCAAGTAGCCTATTCACCGCAGGGAACAAAAGGGAACAAAAATACGAAGGAGAATTCAAGGAAGACGAACAATATTCGTTCATAAACAGGGGGAGGCCTGTGACGTGCTGTGTGTCCTGCCCCTGTGAGCGCCGGCCGCTCTCCTCTCACTGCCCCGTGATGGAGGTGCCCCGAGCCGGGCGGCCTGCGGGACGGCCTGCGGAGCGGCCCGGGAGCCCCTGGGAGCCCCTGGGATGTCGACCCGCGGGGCGGGCAGGGAGCACCGGGCTCTGCTGCGGGAGCCGCCGTGTCAGGCCACGTCGGAAAGGCCGTCCCTCCAGCCCAGCCTCACCTCATCTCTCTCTTCCGTCACTTCTGTTTCCTCCCTTTTTTCGGCCTAACCTATATGTGTCTATGCATGCTCTCGTGTTTCTGTCCTTGTTTCCTTCCTTTCTGGTTGTGCCCCAGCTGCCTCCCTCGTTTCCTGTTCATCCCGTTCCCGAGGAGCCGCTGCCGGGAGCGGCACGGGACTCGCGGCCTGGCCGCGCCGCCGGCTCTGCTTCCTCTAGGGGCAGAAACGTGTCGGGGCCGAGCGCGCGCGCTCGCGCGGCACCCATTTTCGTGATGGGCCGAAGCTTCTGGAGGAAGAACACCGACATTTTGGGGTTTTAATGGCTGGTATTTGTGCGCGGGATATTCAAAGCCAGCTGAACTGCGCTGACTGGAGGCGTCAAGCCGGGCCCTCTGAACTCATTCACGGAGCTTCCTTTATTTTTTTTCAAATTGAGGCTACTGAGCTGGAGGAGCAGGGACAGGTATTTTGCAGTTCGCTGTTTGAAGCTTTTGCTGTTGCCATAATTTGCATTGGAAACCTTGATGTTTGGAGAGCCGCCCTTGTCGCTCAGGGTACCCGAGTCGCGTTGAGCTGCCGGCAGCCGCTGCACGGGGAGCCCCGGGGCGGACGGGCGCCTTCGGAGCGGGTGGCGGGCGCCCGCGCGGCCCCGGCCGCTCCGCTGAGGTGATGGTGCCGGCCCGGCCTCGGCGGCGGTGCCGGCGCCCCGCGGGAGGGCCCCGGGGCTGGCGGGCGGCCTCCACGGGGCCTTCCTCGGCGGCAGAGCCGGGGATGGCGCTTCCTGCCGCCTCCGGCACCCCTGGATGGGGCTTCCTGCCACCTCCGGCGCTGGGAGCTGCCCTGGTTTCCCAGCCTCTCCTCAGCCAGTCAGCTCCACCCAGGTTTGTGTTTTGGAGCCTCCCTGTATTTACCTGCCCGGATTCGTTCTCCCGCCTTCAGGGTGTTTTCCACACATGAGGATGGGTCCTTAGGGATGTGGCATCGTCCATGGGGGGTGATGGGCCGTGGCTGCTCAGGTCCGAGGGGGCTTAGAGTGATCGCTCCATAAACCCAAGTGTCCAAACAGGCTGCTCAGGCTTCCGGATGACACGGCTCGGGGTTACTGTGCTGTGACGATTCCGCTGCAGCGAGAGAAGATCAGCAGGTCCTGCCCGGAGCTGCTGCTCCAGGGAGACGCGCGTCCTTGCCAGTGCTGGGGCGTTGACACCTACAGTCGACCCGATGACACCCCGTGTCACCAGCGACACCCGCAGTGCCCACCGGCCCTCCGGGTGCTGGCGCCCCCCGGCAGCCGCGACAGCCGCTGCAGTGCGAGTCCCGGCGGCACACCGGGCGTTCCTCGCAGTGCCCTCGGCCTGGGAGCAGCCGCGCCGGAGGCTCCTGCGGCTCCATGATCCGTTCAGGAGGGCTCCAAGGCCCCCGTGGCGGCGGCACCGAACAGGCCGTGTGTGTGGGGCAGCGAGGGGCAGCCCGGGCCGGGTCCGCGCCCTCGTGTCCCGCCGTGTGAGCGATGGTGGCCTGGCGGGTTTTGGAGGGACGGCGAGCCGGGCTGGAACCGGCTGCCCAGGGAGGCTGCGGAGGCTCCTGCCCTGGAGACCGGCCCGGCTGCCGCCCCGGCTCTGGGTGTCCCTGCTGCATGGAGCAGCATGGAGCATGGAGCACTAGGGGAGCCCTTGATTTCCAACCCCATCCATCCTGTGACTCTGTGAGGAGTATTGGTGGCCGGGCAGCTACCCAAGTGTGGGACTGTGCTAGGGAAAGACGTTCGCTCTTCCTATTCATCCCCAAATCCCAACGCAGCACACTGTGTGAAAGCAGCACACTACACTGGGAAAGAGACACTAGTTGAGATGAATATTAAAGCATCGTTACAATGAGGTAGACCACAGCACTTCATTCCATTTTGCCAGAAAAAAATATGGAAAAGGAGGAAAGTGGTAAGTAAGACTTCACGTGGTGCTGGTCTGTCTGCCCGTGCCGCTCGCCCGGTGCCGGTGCCGGTGGCACCGAGCGCTCGGGGCGCTGGCGGAGCCGCGCTCGCCTCCGATCCTGTTACCTGCTGCGTTTGACGGGGCGATGCGCGGGAACTGGAGGCGGTTCCTCCTGCCCGCGTCCCTGCTGCGTGTCCAGCCCGGAGCCCGTTCCTGACAAACACCCTCCCTTTTCCCCACGACAACAACGTTGTCTCGCTCGGGCCCGCAGCGAGAGCCGAGGCTTCCCGGGCCGCCCGGCCGCCGCTCACGCGCCTTTCTCGCCCGCAGAATGTGAACGGCATCAAGTACCACGCCAAGAACGGCCACCGAACACAGATCCGCGTGCGCAAGCCCTTCAAGTGCCGCTGCGGGAAGAGTTACAAGACAGCTCAGGGCCTGCGGCACCACACGATCAACTTCCACCCGCCCGTGTCCGCCGAGATCATCAGGAAGATGCAGCAATAACAGGCTGGTCACAAACGTGCCAAGAAACCCTCACCAGCAGTTGCTGATTTTGAGAACAGCCACCTTTTTTTGCAGGGGAAGCACTCAGCAACCCTCTCAAGAGTTAAATGCATGCTTTAAAAATTTTTTCTGTAATTTTGGAATGATGTATCTTTGTAGAGTTAATGATTTTGTACATTTGCACATGTAATCATCATACCCATTTTCATTACTTTGAGATAAGGTGCTAAAGAAAAAAAAAAAAGAGAAAAAAAAAAGAAAAAAAAAAAAAGCTCTAGGTTCTTCAGAACATTTTTCTCCAAAATAAAAACCGAGTGGGGGTGTCGCGGGTCTGGTTGTGCTGAAGCGGTGATGAAGGGGAAGAGGAGGAGGAGGAGGAGGAGGAGAGCTTGGCACTGCCCTGGGTTCCAGATTGTAACGTCACGAAGCCTTTCGCTGCGTCTGTCCGTGTGTGTGTGCGAAAGCCAAAGGATGCCCCGTGTCCCGCCCTGGTGACCATGCCTTACGTAACGGAGGTGGCCGCGCGGTAGCACTCGTGTAGGTAAGGGGAATATAAATAAGAAAGAATGTTTAACGTAATATGCTAAAAATATTTTCATACTTAAATAACATACATAAAAGGTGCGCTTGCTGTATTTTATATTATCTTGCAAATCTTTTTCTTTTCCCTCTTAAAATGCTGAAAATCTTGCCATTTCAACTAGTAAACAATCACGTTAGTGTTAGAAATCCTTTTTTTTTTTTTTTTTACAAGCTGTCATATTACATTCATGCCCATCAAACTTTTGAGGACCAATATCCCAGTCCAGCTAAGCATTTACCCCAGAACTATCAGAAAGACACTTGGAAAAGAAAAAAAACTTAAGTGCAAATTTGTGTGTGTGTGAGAAACAATTCTCTTCATCGCGGATGAAGGTTTAAAGCACTTTGTAGTTCTCTATTGCCAACAGATTCCATGTTTTATGTGTTGCCAATTCTTGCAACTTGCTGTTCGAGCATGTGCCTGTGGTTGCAAATAAAACTCCCGAATCCCGCCGTGGTGTCCGGCGCTCCCTCCTTGGTGCCCGGGGGCTCCTGCCGCCGCCGCGGGCCGGGCAGGGGCTGTGTGGCTGGAGCGGCGACGGTGCTGAGACCTTCGAGCCTTACTGGACATTCAGGTGCTTCTGGTGGCCACGGGCGGGAGCCAGAGGCCGCCCCGGGGCCGGTCGCGGCAGCCCTGGGCGAGCGGCTGCGCGGGAGCCGCCGCCAGCCCCGCGGCTCCCCCCACACACCCCCTTGGGCAGCGAGGACGAGGATGAGGGGGGACGTCGTGGTCTAAACAGAGTCATCAGCTCCCGGCACGACAGGGGCAAAAGCCAAGCTCCTGCCTAGGAGAAATCCGCTTGCCCTCCCTTCCTTTCTAAAGCTTTAAAAGAAAAGTTTGTAAATACAACAATTACGCAGGCTCCAGCGGAGCAACCATCTCTTCCAACTATTTGGGTCCTCCTGATACATTTTGTAAGTGTTTGACACGCGTGTGTTTGGGGAGAACTCGGCTTTTGCAGACCCCGAAGCGGTGCCAGGGGCTGCGGTGCCCGTGGGGCTCAGGGACATCCCGGCCCCGAGGGCTCCCGGTCCCCGCCGGCCCCACAGCCCCTGCTCCCCGCACAGTTTTGGCAACAGCTCCGGTGAGCGCAACAGCCCCTGGCTCTGCTCCTAGTGCAAGAAACCACCGGCTGGGTCAGTCAGTTCCGCAGCTCAACAGTCATAAAGTGTCGTCGTTGCATGTGAAGCCCTTGCAGCTCTAAAAAGGAAATTCCAGTTTCTATTTACCTATTCCTTGTGACAGTATTATTAAACAGGTAAAGATGGGACTATTTTGTTATACTGTGTATAGTGAATGTATTGTACTGTGTCTGTGAAAAGTGTGCTTTAAATTATATTTTCATATGTTTTGTTGGGGACAAAGTACTTTAAGTTTGAAAGTGACAGAGGTTTGTTATAGAACTGAAGGCAACTTAATGAATTCCTGTCAAGAAAGCTGCTTATAAATGTAAATCAAATCACATTTAAAATAAACTGCCTCTGACCTAAAATGCCTCCTCGTTACTTGTCACCAAGCTCAGGCCTTACAAGTCATTGGGCTGGGCAGGATCTTGGGTGCTGCCCTTCGCTATGGGCAAACGCATCCCGTTGGGAACTGGCCACAGGAGCTTAACAGGCAGCCTACAGAGGCGGGACGGGAGCAAACCCGGGCTGCAGGGGTTGGTTCCTGCAGCACCAGAGCCCGGCTCAGCCTGGCGCCACGCGCCTGACAGAGCCCAGAGCCCCTGGGAGGCAGGACCGGGGTGTGCAGAAGGAGAAACCACCGCAAGGAAGGTTTGGATTCCACCCTTGAGGCAGCCGAAAGGAAAGGACCACTGGCTCCATGAATAATTTTGCTTTTAATGTAACAAGACTATTGTACAACAGGTGGAAAGCGAATTTACTTACTACATTTATTATTATAAAATATTTAGATATACACACGTTACCGGAGAGAAATAAGCAAAGTTAAAAAGCAGGTTTGAAAGCCCAAATCCGGAAGGAACACAAGTCACTGCTGTGCAAAACGTAGCCACGTTTCCTACTGAAGGCGAGTGCAGCACGATGGCAATGATTTTAAACACTTACTTTCCAGGCAGTCTAAGCAGAGCAGTGCCTCTCACCTCCGAAATACTGCCTCAGAGCAGCACGTGCGCCAGGTTAGGCCCTGCGTGTGGAACTGAAGGTGCTGCCGGGGCGGGCGATGGGGCAGCACGTGCACCCGCGGGGCACAAGTGACCCAGGCCCTTTCCTCCCGCTGGCTGCGTTATGGAACTTTGATTTACCTGTTACTCAAAGAAAAACTACACAAATTTACTGTGTGAAACAGCTGCTTGTTACGATTTTAATCATGCCTCAGTTAGTCGAGAGAAACCGTAGGAGATTTATTTGTTTATTGGTGTTTTATTAATACAGCTAAAAGCATCATGAAGCTGGTCTCAGCTGGAGGCTAAGGTAATTCCTACGCCCTTACGAATTCCACTAAGTAGGGGAATAAATAGATACAGACACAACCAAGGCTCGAGCATAATGTTAGACAGGAGAGCAGAGGGCCCAGGCGCCGCTGGCGGCCAAGCTCCGCGGCGGCTCCGGGGGCAGCCGGACTCGGCCCCGCTGCGGGAAGCCGCCCTGGTTTGTTCTAGGGGTGGGCTACGCATTTGAAGGTGCTTCTGTTTAAGCTACACTGCAAAACCAAGTATTTAATCGAAATTCAAAACATTCTGATCAAAGTGAGTCTGCACGTGCCTCTCGAAGCCCTGCTGGTCGTAGTCGGGCGGGAACTGCTCGCTGCACATGGGGCAGACCTTCCAGTGGCTCTCCACGTGCTCCTCGAACTTGCTCTGGTCGTAGTTGGGCGGGAACATCACGTCACAGAGAGGGCACTTCTTGTGCACGTCGAAACTGCAGGAGAAGACAATTCAGGTCACTGAGGAGCAGCTTTACTAGGAGTTTAAGTCTGAGCGGAGCTCACATGTGTAGCCAAGTTATTAAATCCCAGCTGAAAACGAGCAATATTCTTAAAGCAGCTCTGCCGGGCACTTCTGAATAACCTGGCGGCTCAGAAGCTGCATCACTCTGATGGAATTGCAGCTGCTGCTGAACACAGGTCTGTACAGCCTTAACAGCCGAGCAGTTTCATGGGAACCCCCTCTCCGTGCTCATAAATGCTGCCTCTTGGCAAACACAGCACTTTATAAAAGCTCTAAACTTAGCCTCACAATTACGTTGCAGAGAGGGAGGAAAACGAACCGGTTTTGATTCGCTCTCTGAAAATGCTGCCCCAGTGAGTCAGGGCGAGCGGCAGCGCGGGGCCCGCTCCGGCCCAGCGGCAAATTCCCCATCGTTAACTGTAGAGCCAAGCTGGGCTGGGGACACTTCCCTCTCCAGGCAAGCCCGCTCGGGCAGCGCGGCCCAGCGCCACACGGACAGCCTGGGCCCGTACGGGGCAGCACAAACAGTTACCTGGAGTCAAAGCAAAAGCCAGAGCCTCGCTCGTGCAGGAGCAGACTGGGGGGATCGGGCGCCGAGGGCACCGTGTTGTCGTCATCCTGCGGACACAACAAGAGCAGAGGGCGGCTCAGGCTCCCGCCGGAGGCGCGCTTCCCGCCTGGCGGCCGAGGCCGGGAGGGGCCCGCGTGGCGGCGCAGGGCGGGCACGCAGCGACAGCGCCGGGCAGGGCTCCGCTGCTCCCCTACAGCGTCCGAGGGCATCATTAGGAATGAAGATGTAAACAAGCACAGGGATGGAGGCAAGGAGCAATAGGGCGAGAAAGCAGTGGGGAAATAAAAGAAAAAATAAGGACTGTGGTTTTAAATTGTTTTTTAAGCATTTTACTGTGTTTTGGTTCTATTCTGCAAACAGGCAAGGCAGCACAAACCTACTCATTTAGATGGGGAAAACGAGGGGCCAACAAGAGCTTTGAAAACACCAGCACTCGAATTTCCCAACCCGTTTTCCGTCCTGCCTGGAAGGGGTGGATCAGGAATGGCACATCCCCATGGCAGCGGAGCCACGTGCGCCCGCGCCAGCCCGTGCAGACGGCCCCTGCACACCCTGCATCCCCGCGCTGATTCCAGACCAACCCCCTCGGTCCCACGAGGGCACCGGCCGGCCGGGAAGGGCCCTCGGTGCTTCCCTTCTCCTGCGGGCTGGGCAGAGCCCTCGGGACAGCTCCGGCCGGGTTCCCAGCCAGTCAGTGCCAGGATCTCCCAGGCAGTCTGAGCCAGCTCATCACAGAGCCCCCAAGGTTGTGCGGGGGTCACCCAGGCTCCAGTGCCGGCGCGGCCTGACCCACAGATCCCGACAGGAGCCGGGTCCGACCCTGTCCTGGCGCCCAGGCCACCCTGCGGCCCCGGGACCCTGCGCTCAGCTGCACGCGTCCGGCCGGGACAACTCCCAGTCTCGCAGGACACAGGGAAACAAGGGGCCTCACCTAGAGGGATCCCACATGTCCAGACCCCCCTTCCTCCTTTCACAGCCACCCCATAAAATAGGAATTGGCAGCAAAACAACCCGCATAAGCGGTGGGAAAGGCGGCGCTCAGGAGCGCGGCGCAGGAGATGTCAGTCCAAGCCCACCTCTCCTCGTGCACATGGAAGCAGCCTGCTTCCAGGGAAGAGCGTTTCAGGAGGACACAAAACACAAAAAGCAGCGTCAAGCAGAAATTTGGATGCGTTTGCACGTGACCGTCTAGGTCACAACTGTCCTCAGCTCAGACTAAGCAAGGACAGCAAAAGGCCAAAGGCAGGAAAGTCGGTGCAAGCTTCAGCGCAACAGGAACGGCACCACCGCCTGCTCTCACTCTTTGCTAGCCAAGACAATCACCAGCAACAAGAATCAGCCTCTCTGCAGAGCAGCAGAAATAACAGCTTTCTGCTGGGAGAGGTGGGCAACAGCACCGAGCTCAGCTTCTAGGCCTTAAGCAGGCTGCAAACGCTGTGACAGCTGCTCTAATTATTCGCAGTAATGGACACCGGGGGCAAAAGGCAGGAGGGAGAAATCCATTTTTCTCCATTATAGGTGCTGAGCACCAGGGCTAAAATCATGCCTGTCTGAACACTGATCAGCTTCTGCAAAGGTTAATAGCAATTAAATGTGGCAAACTAGACCAAACGAGAAACAGGTCATGATACCAACGGTACTTGCAAAGAGCACCGGACTTTGCAGGGAAGGATTTCTCGTTCAAGGCTTTTAAAGCAGCAAGAGTACTAAGAATAAGAAACAGCAGTGTGTCTGTTCCTGTTCAAATGAAGACATATGGTACAATTTAGTACAGAAGCCTAATTACTGATACCGTTTTTCTTCTTATATCAGAATACGCAGGACAGGTGTATTTGTTAAAACATTTACCACTTCCCACCTAAAACATGTGAAACCCTACAGAGGAAATTAGTGAAGATCTGTCACTTTCAGATTAATCAACTTCAAATAAGTCAATTAGCTCTTCAAAAGATATGTCTTCCAGTTGAAAAAATCAGTATGAAAATTAATAAATGCTGATTTGTAAAACACAAGGCAAAAGATTAGGAATGTCAGAATGAACATATTTAATACTACGGGCATTTTCATTCAGCATTTAACTGAACACACTGTTATCAGAATCCTTCAAATTTTGATTCATTTCGTCACAATTCAGCTTACATTTGAGCCTTCACTCTACAACACACAGGAGTGAAATACCAAAATTAGCTGAGATTTGGATTTTTTCCATGTTAGCATTTTCAAAAAAAATAGGCAGATGTAGTCCAATAACGAGAACCACCAGCAGTAGCTCAAGAGAGCAGGGGAGCAAGTATATATTACTCAACTGTTGATTGATTTTCTTCCTTCACAAAAAGGAAATTAACTTAAAATATCTTTCAGGGAAGATGATGAATTCCACATTTAATTAAAATAGGCTTACTAGAAACCAAAACCTATGTCAGTTCTTGATTACTCAGTAAACATCAGAGAAAATACCACCCCCAGCAGAGCAGTAACTTACATTGCTGTCCTCGGGATCCTCTAGGCCGTCCGGCCGGCTAAGGTTGCGTGACGGCTGACTGCAGACGACCTCATCCTCCAGCTCCCAAAAGGAGGTTCTCACAGGTGGTCTTTGGATCTCATCGGGATTAAAAGCCCCATCTGCTCCATCTGAAGGCAGGAAAACCAATGGGAGCAGTTTTTGGTCAGCAGAGTGGGTATTTTGAGATTACAGGTGTACTACCTTAAAAAAGCCTTCTCGTATCTTCACTTTAGGCAAGATAAACCAGCAGAAAAGACCCTCTTCAAATCACACCTCTAAAACTTGCTTTACTTTTGCAATCCTCACTGCTTCGCATAAATGCACTGTATGTTAGTGCACAGGTTGTTGGTATTTATCCATTTCCTTTGAAACGGTGAGCTACAAATTCTATCCAAGAAAAAAGAATATCTACTGACCTCTCCTTTCCTGAGTGGCATACGGGTTTCCATACTGCAATACTGGCAATCTGCTTGGCACGGCAGGAATTGCTCCGTTTTCCTCTGAATACGGGTTGCGAAAATGTAATGACTGTTGGGAAATGTGTCCTTCCATCATCCTCCCATTCTGATTTCCTGGAGCCCTGCCAACTTCCTGAATAACATAATGTTCCAAATGCAGTTAATCCATACAGTCACAATAAAAGGTTTGAATTTTTACTAAATTAAGGATTTAGTTCCTTTTTTTAAAAAAAAAATGAAACAATTAAATCTGCTAAACTTGCTACTTGTTCCTCTGCCAGCTGACTAGAGATGATGTTCCATTTACAATTATCAGGGATACCATTTCCCTTACAATGGTTATTACCACAGTATCAAAACTACTCCATGTGTAGCCATAGATTAAGTGTCCTAGCTGCTGGTAACATCACTGCAGTTATTGGACTTTTTCCCCTTTTTTTTGAAGGGAGAGGAGAAAAGGCAGTATTTGCTTTTTGACCCTGAGCAGCAGTTTGCAGCTTGTAACTGAAGGCACAGGAACACTTCAGATCTTCAAGAACTAGAACTAAAGGAGTTGGAACCTTCTTGTTCTTACATTAAAAAGTGGACAGAACACTAAAAATGAGACAGGTCAACAGGCTAACCCGCAGTCTACATAAATAACATGAAGTTGTCAACTTCTAGAAGAGCATAGAGACTAGTTAACAAGACCATTCTGAAGAGAGTATTTTTGCTCAGCAGGTATTTACAGAATCTCTTTACATCTCTTTAAAGCGCAACAAACAGCATGGAAAATATATTTTTAAATACACATACATGTGTAACAGAAAAAGTGAGAAAGTGCAGTCTTAGGAACCAACTGATGGTGTATGAACAGCAAAGCAGAGAACAGGTCAAGACAAACGATAGGTCAAGACAGACCCAAGGAGGATCTTGAAAGCAGGACAAGTAGCTTACAATAAATGCAGTAAAGAAAGCAGAAGTAGAGGGTAGCAGTGAAAACAGTGCTGGAAAATGCTGTATGTAAACTGAAAACGGAAATGGAAAACACCGTATGGGAATGAAGAGCAAGAGAATTCTCTAGTCAGGTTCACAACGTGCTTCAGCAAGTGGGACAATTCTATCCCAAGTCCAGGCAAGATTTTTGGGTGGCTAGAAAAGGCCACATTGCAGGTATTTTGCATGGAGAGGACTTCAGCAAACAGCCAGATGACAAGAATTTTTAAAAGGTCAAATTAAAAGCAGTTGCAGCATCATTCCGGCCCATAACCTGGGAGTGGCAGGCGCTGCCACCAGGAATGGCACCAAGCCCCTGAACACAGATGCAAATTCAGCAGCAGCAATACAAGCAATTCACCAACTCTCTCTCACACTCACTGTCCTGACAGAATCCAGACCCATTTTATAGACTAACAGCTTTCCAGAAAGACCAGGTATTGCTACTTTCTTCTTATGTTAGTTATTAGAAGTCAGTGCTAGTTTTCAGAGCTGTTAAGCCAGCCAAGGTTATTGACTTAAAGCAGCAGTTACACTACTGCAGGAAGGTGCACTGGCACGTCTGTCCACTTCCAAATAAATGGCTTTTAAATTCATGTGGATTTAAATCCAAACTTAAATTTGAAGAGCTGCAATTTGACGTATAGATTTCAAAGTAAATAAATGTCCTAGGCAAAACAATTTGTCCTCTATGAATATAATGGTTAAAAAAAACAAAGTTCATACCTGTCTTGTAAACAGAGAGAATGAAACCCCACACATTTTCATCCCTACTTGTTACATCTGCATTCTTGCAGTTTGGTAGAGGTATGTGTTTTTACCCAGAACCAAAAAATGATGAATTTCAAGAGACTTAGAGGCCCTGCCTCACTTAATTGTTAATTAAAAGTCTGCACCAGAAAGTCAGTCCATTCTTTCAGAGAAGTTAAAGCAGAACTCTTCAAAAGATTCATGTATTTAGAAGTCTGAAATTCTGCATATAGCCTATAGAGACAGTAATTATTGTAAACTACTAAATAATTTTTATAACATATACAGGCTTAACGTTTCAATGGCTTATATATTAAGGGCCAGTAAATAAAGTGAATTAAGTGCAGGCAGTGCCATCAGTTGTGCTTTATCCAAAGACTTTTCTCTTGCCTGCCTTAGCTAAAGCAGATTAGGGAAGAAATAAAAAATAAAACAGAACGAGACAGCACGTATATCAATACCCAAAGGAATGTGTGATTTACAATTATGAACAAAGCAAAAACAATATAATGAAAAGGGTAGTCCTGGAGAGAGCTACGTTTTTTTTTTCCCTGCCAAAAAAAAAAAAAAAAGGAGGGGGGGGGGGGGGGGGAACAGGTGTGTTTTTCAACCCATTTTCATTCTGGTAAGCATTTCCTTGGGGGTACTTTAAGGTTTACTGATGTAATATTAATAAAATTTTCAAATGCAGAAGCATGCGCCTTCTGCAGCCACTTTACAGCAAAAACTTCAAAACTGAAGCTTTGACAAGTTTAACTATGTAAGATACTTAGTGTCTAGATTATTTAAAAAGAACACAGCACATTTCTCATCACAGCTTAAAGTCCAAATAGGAAGGAAAAAAAAAAACCACCACCCAGAACGCCCTCACAAACTTCAGCACCAATAACACCATAAACTCCCTTGCATTCAGGAAAAAATAAAATGCTGTCAGCAGTTGATAGGACAGTTTTGAAGAAGGTACATTTTTTAAACCCTTGGACTTAAAACACAGCATTTCTTTCAGAAAATGCTCTCCTGCAGCACAGCACAACGTCTGCAAAACACCTTCCAAGTAAAATGCCCTCTTACCGATAAGCTATCAACTGTGCTAACTTCACTCCAGATTTTAGATAGACTAAAATGCATATATGATTGAAATGCTTAGGGTTAAATGGTTAGGAGACTGTCTTAAAATTTTCCTAAGTGGATAAAATATAAATAATTATCTTTGCTCGATACAGAGCAGGAACAATTAATTATTATTGAAGTTAAGATTTTCCTTTTTAAAATCAATTTCTTCTGCAATATGGAAGCAGTTTAGAGAAAGAGGCGATGGCATTTAATCCTTTAATTTTAGCATCACATAAGATTAAAACAGAATGTAGATCTAAGTGACTGTAAAAGGTGCTGTAAAATAGTCCTAGCCAGAAGTCGGACAGCTACGGTAAAGATTGATGAAAAATCAAAGGCTATCCAAGTATGTAAATAAAATAGAAACCAAGTAATTTTATAGGTTTGAAGAGACTGGAAATGAACATTTTGAGCATGCTATGTTTGGTGACATTTATAAACAAACACTGATAATGGAGTATAAATTGAAAAGCTGTTTACTATACTGTGCTTAACCTTTTAAATCATGGTTCCAGTCTAGCAAAGCACTTTGATTCTTCTTTGTAATGTAAATATCCATAAATTCGGTAGACACAGTTCCAAGCTTTTACAAGGTTCATACCATATTATTACAGTTGCCTTCCTTCTTATGTGTGTTGTTTAAAATTACCCCCTCCAGGTAGACTAGATTTACCAAAACTCAACTTTTACTTCACTTTATTTTGAATTAGAAGAAAATAGCAGAGATTTATTAAAAAATTAAGTCTTTGACCTTTCTGGGCAAAAATATTAGTGGACTTAAATATCAATTACTTCTGAATCTAGAATTTTACAAAACATTAATTGATTTAATATGAAATCAGTTTAATCTCAACTGATTGATGTACAATTTCATGTTTGCAACACGTATCTGTTTATACTTTTCATTTCAACGCATGTGGCTCTAAGTAATCTGGGCAACGGGAACTTTTCTACCCTATCATGCAACATTATCTGAATATAATAAGGACATTTTATTATTTCGGCTTTCAGTTTAACAGTCTGGATAAATGGCTATATAAGATTAATGTTCTGATGCTGAAAGTACTTCCAGTATTAGCATTTCAGAATTAATTTGTCTGGTGTAACAGCAATAGATTCGATCAGACAGTAAGCTCTTGAAAGCAGCGGTTCATTTTCTATCTTATATTTGAAAATCACAGAACTGTTTGCCTATCTTTATCTCTTTTCCAATCAAGATCTTTTTATAGCTGTAGATGACAGAAGTCATGACTTCCACGTAAGTCAAGCTGCTGTGAGTACATGAGGAGACTGCAGATGTTGAAAGGATTTGGAAAAACCTTAACCACTGCTGAGGGCTGGGGAAGCTGTGAAGATTTAAATGTATCATGCACCTTTCAGGCCAAGCTTCCAAAGGAAATAAGGTTTCCCACTTGTGCTGCCTGTCAGCTTCCATCACCAGGAACTCTTGAAAACACCACAGAGAATTAACTGTCTCCAAGAAATGGAAGTGCTGCCAGTTGGGGCTGATGCCCTGTTAAAAGGAAGGCTGCAGCACGAGCTCAATGACCACCTGTGTGGTTCGGGCACAGACGCTAAGTGGGCACCAGCCTTCAGCCCCCACAGGGCCAAACCCCTTTCAGCAGCAACAGGAGGAGCAGAGGAAGGAGGAGGCTGAAAACTCACTGAAAACCTGTAAAAGAGTCAGGGAGCTACTGAGATTAGGAGTAGAACAAAATTTGCAAGAATTCTTATGTTCTGTGAACTCTCATCCCATTAACTTTCACAGAATTATTTCCATCTCTTGCAAAATAAATAAATATCAATTTGTATCCTGCAGGAATTATTCTAGAGCATTATTACAGAATAATAAATTACAATATTTTTCAAAGTTGAGCCAATTTTGTTGAGTTAGTCTATTAGGTCACATCTTAAAACAAATATTAATAGGAGTTTCCCTTTAGTTTGAAATGATAGTCCACTTTGACAAAATATGTAAACATGGAAAAAGTATGTTTGAAGAGTTAACAACTTTCTACTTGAAAACAAACTGCAGTTCCTCAAATCTAAGAATCCCACAAGTGCTAGCTTCCAAAATCTAGCAGGATGCAACCGTACCTTTTCACTGGTGAAGAGTTCCAAACGCGAAGTCAGCTCCTTTATTTGTCTCTCTTTTTCTGCCAGCTGAACCTATATGAAATTAAGTTTATAGTCCCTGCATTAATGAAAAGGCATTATTTCCCTACATGTTATACAGTGAAAATGTAACACAACTTAAAATCACCTAGTTCTACCACAAACATCAGAACCAGAAAAACAACAATTTGCTGCCAATTCATCTACTGTATAATAGCACAATGTTGAAAGCCTGTACCTGCCAGGTGCCAGCCTTCAGAAAACAGATATGAGAGGATAAAATCCGCGGTTAAACCCTCGGGGATGAGCACTAACAGTGATGCTAAGGGCAGGCAGGACAGCACTCTCCAGGAAGAGCTGCAGTCTGAAAGCTCCATCACACAAGTCCTAAGGAATCTGCTCTAAGTTCTTCAGGGATTTCTTTCATTCACTTCTCTCAAACTCATAAGAAAAATTAACAGAGAACCAAACTCTCTCTCAAATAAACTAGGTTTATCTCAGACATATCTATCTACCATGTCTTTCAGTTGTGTGTTTCAGAAGACAACGGATTCAAGTGCCTATGCAGGATTCTTCCAGGCTTTCTCCTTGCTTCCAAATGATTATTCAAGTTGCCTTTCTCCCAAAGGGAAATTTTATTCAGATTTTCATTACTTGGGAGACTGCCTCTCCACTTGGTCTTCTGGCGCGCAAGCCCAATGCTCTACAGAGCTCAGAAGCAGCTTGCTCAGTCCTCAAATTCCCTCCTCTGGCTGAGTTTGACAGAAAAATCCACTGACCACAAGGAAACACTCGCCTTACCCACCCATGCATTTTCCAGAATGTTAACGGCTTTTGAATTAAAGCCAAAATATTTGCTGCTTTGAAACCAATCTATTGGTCACTAACAGCTACCAACTTTCTGTTGTTCAGAAATTAAAAAACATTCACTAAATTATGCATAGCAACTAATAACTACTAATTAATAAAACAGGATAAGCCAGAAAGAGTCACATATTTTACAGAAGTGAAATTAGAGCTTTCAGAAGAATGTGTCAAAAATTACTGAGGGACAGGACATGCTTCTTGAGTACACTGCAGAATAATGGCATATTTTATAAAAGCAAAACTACTGTACTTTTTCATTGAGAATGTGTTTAAGCATTAAAAGGATGTGTTGTTTCTACAGTGCAAAATACATTTTCTGTTTATTATAGAAAATAAGTTTCTCCTACAAATACTGTTTAATATTTGAACTATGAAGAATAAGCAACAGTGTTAAGAACACTGTCAACACTTAACAGTGTTAAGAACACTGTATCATTTATGATTTGGGAAGGGGAAAAAAAAAGAAATAAAAACTTACTTTATACTGATCCTCCATTGCTGCTAGCTGTAATTTCATACCCTCATTGATTTTCACCTGTTCTTTCCACTTCAGCTCCAGTTTAGCTAGTTCATCAGCATAGACACTGCATTTCATCTTCTCATCCTAAAGTAATACACACCATGGCATGAAATTCTTAACATTTTAAGAGTTATCATTATTAGAAAAAGACAAGTAGGTCGTTAACTCTATGCTTTTAGAATTGGATAGTTTACAAGCCTGGCCAACAGTAAGGCTTTGAAGAAGATGGGGCTACTGAGCACTGCAGAACTGACGTTCAATATAGATTTATTCCTGCTTGAGTTCTCAGTCAGCTCCTACTCCTCTTTAACTGTTTAAGCTTCTCTGTGCAAACACAATCCTAAGTGCTGCGATTGGGAAGTTTGTTTTCAGTGTCCCACTTTACAACAAAACTTCTCCCCTTGTGCTCCCCTAAAACCAGATCAAGTTATCTTTCATCCAGAAGGTCAAAGGCAAAGCTTTCCTCAAAGCATGCCTAGGGAAGAAAGAGCCACCAGAAGACAACGAAGGCCCTATGGAATCACATGGCAGTCATTACCACCTGGGAAACATGGTTAAAATAACCTGCTTGCAGTAAGAGAAACAAGGTGAATTCAAGGAAGTTTCTCAGTATATTTTGCTTATTTGAGGTTAAAACAAATCAGGGCAGGAAAAGAAATCACTGTCAAAATATTTCATCTTCATGCATACATCCAAGCTGGTTACATGGAGATCAAGTTAGGACTGACAGGCTCAGAGGCAATGTGACCGTGGCTAGCAGTGCTGTCGGGGACAGATGGGGCCTAGAAACTATAGAAATGTATGTACAGCTCCGTGCTCTCACTGAGCCTGGGCCAATGCACATTCCCAACTTGGACATCTAAACACTGGGCAACTTCAAGACTTTCAGATGTAGAAGGAAATATTACACTTGAACACCAGATCAAAAATATTGCTATGCTTGTTCCACACATCAGCTGGTTCATAGCAACCTACTATATTTAATTTGCTAATATAATCATATTTAGAGATAAATAACCCAGAACCTTAAGAACAGAACCTTGACCCAGAACTGTAAGACCACCTTTTTTCCTGTATCTGAGTTAACCTGAAGGGTCTGTCTTTCAGGTAACTGTGAGCATACTACATAAAACTGTCTTTTAATGTTCAAATTTCTACTATAATGATGTCACGCTACCCAAACAAGCAGCAAGGCAATTCTGCCGGGCAAGTTTTCTTACTTCTAAGATTTAGAGCCTGAGGGTTTTTGTTCAGATTTCTGAAGCAGCTGTTTACTTACTGCCAACATTTGCTTGCATTTCTTATATTTCTCTGTTTTCTCAGCAATTTCTTTATTCATTTCACGTACTTGCTCCTTTACCACGAATTCCGAAACTATATCAGATGAAGTGGGGCTAACTGTGAACATTGAAAAAAATATATTTGATTCTTTGTTCCATAAATAAAATCTGTATCAAAGAAACGACAGGCCAAATTTGATGGTGCATCAGGAACAGAGCTGCATGTTATCCAAGCAGATATTTATTCAGAATCGCCCCCCTCAGCATCTACTGACTAGTGAGTCTTAAAATAAGTAGTCACGGGATCAGCACAACTCTATTCCATTTTCTCACATAACAAGGATGAGCATAAATAAAGAATACACAATCTACAAACCAGTGTAAAAAAATGCATATAATTCTCTCCATTAAGCTCCCAAGAAAGTAATTAACCAAATATGCATCTTATAATACTAGATACTTTATTCTTCTACAAAAATATCTAATTTATCAGCTAGGCTACTTTATCCAACCACATATTAGGGCTTGTCAAAATTATATTTATTTACAACCTGCAGAATGAAAGTGCATGTGAATCAAGAGGATATGTACTTTAAAAATAAGTATTTTATTAGCATTTATGAGTGAATACTAGATCAGACGTAGTTATAACCTATTTTCTTTAAATTTTAAGATTACTTTTGTAGAGAGCCTAATGCTTAATTAAAACTATAACCTAGTTATACTTCTAGTTAAACTTTCTCTAATAAGCCACTAAGAGAATGGCCCATAGTCTTGATCTTGTCATCAAATCATCATATCTACTCAGGTATGATATAGCATTCTACTCTAAAATTATATCTACATATAATTAATTAGTTATTATGACATGATTGCAGAATTAACATGGTAACATGGGGCATGTTTTTAAATGAAATCCCTCATTAGCCCAACAAAACCAGTGTTAACTGCCAAGTGAAAAATCAGAGCTCAGTTCTTAAAAAGAAAAAAAGTTAACTGAATCCCTTTGAAAAGATGCAATGAAACTACTTAGGAATAGTATTGATTTGAAAAAAATGCTTTTCAGATGAATCACTTTTCTCATTACTGTTCTATTTAAAGCAAATGCTAACTCCTCCTAGCTCATAGTAAAAAGACAACTGTAGATTGCTTCACATAAACAGTACTTTCAGGCTAATATAAAATAGTCAAAATTAAAGCTGGTGGTACCTGGAGATGCAGACAACTTTTTGTCTGTAATGACGGCAGAAGCTGTCTGAGTGTTGGCTACATCTGTCAGTTTCTGTTGATTTCCTGCAATTTTCTTTGTGAAAAGAAACTTTGTTTTGGTATTTTAATAAATGAAAATCAAAGCATAAAGAAACATCTCTTGCACTAACCATTCCTCTAAAATTGGACTAGGCAGAATTGCTTATTAAACTGAGATAATGATAATGCACAATCATTTTATTCTAACAACACTGAAATAATCTAAGGCATAATCTAAGATTATGATTTTTAGTAACTATACTATCTACAATTCTTTTTGTACTGCAAATTGTAATGTTTAAACAGATTATTATGAAAATACCACTTCCTGGAGAATACAAACATCTAATCACTTAAATGTCCTACTTCATTAGAAAATGAGTAACCTGTGTGTATTTATATATATAAAATATATAAAACATATATTTATATAATGTTTTTATATATATATATAATTTAATGAAATATGACAAAGATATGAAATTTTGGCTTTGTATGAGATGCACCACATAGCCCAACATATGAAAAAATTTCAAGGAAAGGCCATAGGCATAATGATATGACACCTCATTCACCATTGACCTTCTGGATGAGAAGACAAACGTAACCCATAGCTCAAGACTGGGTAGGCTCCCATCTGTTCTGTGAGCAGCAGAAATACTGTCCGTTTTTCCAGGAATTCTGTTTGTGTATCTCTCCTTTACTCACACTTCCTCATTTCTGCAATGAGAGCCTTCCTATTCTCCTCAGTTACTAATTTCCCCAGCCTTCTGAAGAGCTTTGAAAACTGCTTCAAGTTCTTCAAACTTTGTCAACACATTTAGTTACTAGGTGGCCTAAGGCCAGCATCATGATTGTATAAAGCTCATTTATTAAAAAAGCTCAAATATTGATTGGAATATCAAACAGGTACGGAATACAAACTTACATGGCATGGAAGCTTTCTTCCCACCTCCCTTTGACTCCCTGTGAAACCTTCCTCCATTCCTCCACTACTTTTTTCTTTCTTTAAAAGGCAACTAACTATGCAGGTTAGTTGCAAAATTCTGCCTTAAGCATAACTATTACTATAGGTTCAACTAAACCCTGCTAGCTTTCTACACGTGTGCTTATCACAGTTTTCACAAGAACCAGAGAAGTAAACTGGCTTTCAGGAAGAAAACAAGAAATGAAAGAGCCTCTGTTCAGCACTTATTTTAATCCTTTAATCCTTGGCGAAAGGAAAATAAATAGGTGCTGAAAAGTCCCAGTAAGCACATACAATTTCTCCATTCTACTTACTGCCTGTTCTGTAAATTTGTTCACTTGTTTTTGCAGTTTTTGACACTCTTTGAATTTTTCCTTGTAATGGTCAGCAGCCATTTGCAGGCGAAGCTTCAGATCTTCAACTTCTCTGCGTAGCTCATGCTCCACTGTGTTGGAAGTTTCCTTAAAAAATAAAAAATAAATAAAACAATCAGAAGTTGGTATCCCTTTCATTCAAACAGCACCATTTCCTGAAAGGCCTTTTCTTTTTCCAATGAATGCAAACAAAATGCTTGGAAGTTTTCCATACAAGTGTGAAGGAAGCCTATGCTTTCTTTGGGGGAAACACAGGAATAGAGAAGCAAAGGAAAGATATAATCAGCATCTCTGCTACACTGACATATACCAAAAGTCTAATTCAGTCCTTCTAAAGAAGGTGCTCAGGCACAGCCACAAAACCAGGTAGACCACAACAACAATGTAGAACACTCACTGTATCTCTACCAAAAGTGGTTCAGCCGAGCTGTAAAACTGGTACATGAAAATAGGAAATCAATTTGGACAATAAATTCTGAAAGACTCCTGAAAATCATGTAGATTTCCTCAATGAGGAAAGAATGTTATAAAACAAGCAAACAGAACATAACACACTAACTCACATCCACAATTTTTCTATCTGCATGAGTTCTTATGCTACTATGGTTCACTCACAAAAGAATTAGGAAAGGCGGTAGATTTAAAATAACACTGCATTATTTCTTGAAAATAATTTTGGCAAGGGGTGGGTGGCAAAGAAGCTACTAGAAGAAGTAGAAAATCTCTTTCTTACAAACCTTCCAATTAAGCTAACATGCATTTGATTAAAGGTAGTATCCTGAGTGTCAGGAGAGAATTCACTAACAGTGATCATTCAAACACATCCTTATTCCCCGACTTCAGAGAGATTTTTGTGAATACAGTTTCAGTACTAAAAGGTAACACTTTACTTGTTCATTTTTCAAAGCTGTGATCTTCTTGATTTCATCTGAAGCATCAGCAAGCTGCTTTCTCAGCTTCTCGTTTTCGAGCCGAGCACCGTGCAGATCTGCCATGGTCTTGTCTCGCACGTTGACCGCGTCACTCAGCTCTTTCGACATCAGGACAGCTTCTTGTTTACTAGCCTGGATCTGATCTTCAGCTTTTCGAAGCTGCTCCTTCAAAATACTGGCATCCTCCTGCAAGAGAGAGGAGAGGGGAGAAATTGATCACCTTTGAATTCAGAAAGTTCAAATACAGTTTGCTATAAAGCTGGGAATATTTGCAAGAGAAATGAAATTTAGTTTTAGAGGGAAAAAAAAACGGTAAGGTTGCAAAGAAGTATCATTTTCTCCATATATTTTGTCTGCTAATGAGCATGTACAATCATATTCCACCATGATGTAAATGATTGTGAGCAATCACTACCTCAAAACACAGATTTAAATATTACTTTACCTATTCTATGTTTTTGTTAACTTTCAGATTTAATATTAAGCATCAATAGGATAAACAGTCATCCAGCTTCAAAACCAAAGTTCATTCCCCAATAAGACAGCACAGGCAACAACAGAGTAAGCAGCCTTAAAATGCCTACAAATGTAGGCATTTTATGTAAGATTCCTTAGTGCAGGCACTGTGCAAAAGAGCTTTGGGAGGTTGTTCATACAACTCCATTTCCCAAGATCTTGCTCAATAAGCTTTTCCAGGAAAGCTGGGAGCAAAAGGCAAGGGTAAACTGCAGTATGAAGTACTCAAACACTCTCACTGCCACTGCAGCCCACAGGGCAGCTCAAGGAGCCACTCACCAAGCTGCACTACAGCCCCTCATCCCTCACAAAAGCCCAGGATCACAGAAGGAAAAAGCTACTACAAGCCTCTGTCAGTCCCTGAGCCTCCTGAAGGCAAAATAACTCCATATTCTTACTCTAGACACAAGTTCAAGTATTCCTGGTGTGCTGTTAATTTTTGAATTACACAGCAGGTTGTCCAGTGGAATACTAATGTACACTGCAAACATTTATGCAGGTGGATGGACTAGGAGACTTCTTTAAGTCCCATCCCTTACTTATTTTCCATGGCAGACCCCACATCAGTTACATTTAAGTAGGTATAATTGGTTTCATAATTCAAGACAGTTATTAATAACTGACAGGTTTTTGCTTGTTCCAATTCTGGCATATACATTATTAAGTTTTTTATTTTCAAGTATTGTAGCAGTTTAACATGCTCAGCAGTTAAACCAAAAGACAAAAAGAATGTGTTCTGATTTAAAGCACAACACTGTGTTCTTACTATTTTAATTCTCAACAGCACTACTTTACTACTACAACTGTATATTCATAACTCATACTGCTTTAATGCAGTTTCTATTCCTTCAAGATCTAGATTACTTTTCCAGCAAGAAGACTGACAAGACCCACAAGGGAGCAGTGCAAAGCAGTCTGCCCAGTCTGACTTTGCTTTGCTGACCCAGCAAATGCTGTGCCTGTATTAGCTCTCTAGCTCACATTACGTTGGTGGAGCAACCCCCCAGTGATGCCACCTTGTCACATGTCACTGAGCAGCCTCAGGGCACAGGGACCGGTGGTTTCCTTCGGGCGAAGCTGACCAAAGCCAACACAACTAATGGAGATCCAACCTATGGAACCCCCACACAGAGAACCTACCACCCTGGAACACGGACAGAGCAGGCACTGTGTCCTCAGCACCTGCATTTCTCATTTGATTTTGTCTGTTTATGCAGTACTTGCACACCCTGAGGATTTACATTATATTATTTATATAATAGTACATTCACCTAACATTTGCTCTTCAGGACATCTTTCAACATGTCCTCCTTTCTTAGCCTCTACAGGTTCAATGTGGCTACATCCTTTATGCTGCCTCACTCTGTCCTTTTTTAACAACTCACATGCACACACCATTTTCACTGGATTTACAAAATTAAGTCTTTACACCTGTCTTACCTCATCTGCCTTACCTTATCACACATCAAACTCATCTCAACATGCTCCAAATGAGCAAAACTAATTCACATTCCTACTTGCTCATTTTCTGTATCTGCTGAGGAAACCATCATTCTCCTACCTCTCAGCCTGTACCTTCAACTTCCTCTTTTCTTTCATCAGAGACTTGAAAAGTTCACAGACTTCAGATTTATTTTTAACCAGGCCAATTATAATACCAATGCTTACCTTGTTGGATGAGGAGAGCAAAAAAGCTTTCTTCATATTTTCTTTCTCTGCTATAAATAGCTGTAATTTGCCAACCTCCTCTTTATAATACGTTATCATGTTTTCTTTGTTTGCATCTGAATTCTTAAGCATCTGGATCTCTTTCACTAGTTTGGTGTTTTCTATTTCTGTATTCTTCAAGTGTATCTGCAATGATGCTAAAAAATGTCAAATTCTTCTTCCACATAATAAAGACCACTACCTGCCCAATTAACTCTTCACCAAATTTTAACTCATCTCAGAAAGATTAGAGTAAGTAAAGAGAAAAATTAAACATTTAACAATATCTCTATTCTCATAGCATGAATTTTCTGTCTGGAATCCTTTCAGATAGATCTTCAACTCACAGCTCCACTCTACACCTAAAAGTTCACACCCTGACTTCAGTCCACATCAAACTCAACTTTTCAAAACTAACTCCTCTCTTCACAAATGAAGAACAACTCAAACCCAGCAAAATGCCTGCAAGAAAGCTAAAGAGAAATTATTCTTCCAGTAGTATCTATTTACAATTATCTAAGCAAACAGGATTACATAGCAATATGCAGTTCTAAAGCAAGTTGTCTTTAAGATGTCATCAAGTCTACCTAATCGCATAGTAAATGAGAATTGTTGTACACAGGTCTTCTCCATTCACACAAGGATACCAAGCTTGGGAAAAATATTTTGAGATTTTAAGATGACTTCAGGAGCAAACCTAACTTTGCCACATAAAAGTCTTTTCCTATGAAGGCAAATAATCTTTTCAACATGCATAAATTGCTTCACAAAATAAAAGGTTTCATCATACTAGCATATAAACCAAAAAAGATTTAAAAAAATAGGCAATAGTATGAATTTAACAGATATCAGCTCAGGTCAGATTAGGGGTGACATTTCCTGATCAGGTTCTTCAGGTACTTTTCTAAGGAGAGGGTCACATCAAGTTGGACAGATTAGTACAAGAGGCCAATACATATAAATATTTCTATAAATAGAATAAATACACATGGTTCTATCAGCTCACTTGAAAAAGTCCAAAGTTACGGACTTCAAGATTATTTGTGAGATTATTTTCCTAATAGGGCTGCTTCCAAGTATCAGCAAAAGGCACCTGCTAGACTATTAAATCAAAGCAACACAGATCCTGCTAAGGCTTCTCAGTTATGCACTAAAGTCAAGAACTGGGATCCAGAAAACATATTCTGGAGAAACTTACAGTAAAAAAAAAGTTACTTTCTTTTTCATAGCTATGTTAAGACAATTACCAGGTGATGCATTGTACGACTGAAGAACCACGCCACTAACATCTATTATTTTAGGTTACTGTGTTTGCCTTTTAAAAGAAGTTGTGTATCCTCCCTCCTTAGGACATTTTTATATCCTTGCAGAAATTCAAATGCTATTTCCTCATTCACTTTTATCTAACAGCATTTATAACTATCTTAAAAATGTGTTCATAGAAACGATCCATTTCCTTTCTTCCTCAACATCCAATTTATCACACCTCTCTATAAAATGTTATTTCAAGTGACTTCATTTCAGTGTATACAGGGAGATGGAATAAATTACCTTATAAAGTTCTTTTTCATCCTTTTCAGTCTTTAACACACATTCAAGTTGCTCCTTCTCAAGGGTTACTTTCTTCATTTTGTCCTTCAGACTAAGAAATTAACAAATTAACAGTATTGTTACCAAAGGAAATTACTTCATATACATGTACACCTTAAAAGAATACTTGTGGAAAGAAAAAGTAAAACATGGAAGGTAAGGGACAAATGACTAAATACCTGTCTAACTCTGTTTCTTTTGCAATGGCTTTTTGTGTAACAGTCATGATATCTTCTTCAAGCTGGAGAACTTTTGAAGCAGCCTCCTCATGCTTCTTTTTCAGATCATCATTTTCAGTCTTAAGAGTTTCTGATGTTTGAATGTTAGTCTTAAAAAAAAACGCAAGTACACATCACTTAGGAATGCATATCTTCAGAACAAAAAAAATGTTATTTGAATTAATGCTAAAATAGAGAAATACTGCTTTCATTTTGGAGTACATGTAAAGTTATATTATAAAAGAAGATGGTCATTAGGTTTCCTCTATTCTCTAAAAAGCATGTCAAGCCCTTTTCAAATCGCCCATCTGCTATAAAAATATGCTAAACATGTTATGAATATTCATTTTCCCCCCCAATCTTTGAATGATGCCAATTATCTCCAATGCACACTTTACCCTAAAAGGGCACCAGGATGAGAGAAAATACATAAGAAAAGACTAAGAAGATAAGCGGCCAAGATCAAGATACATAAGAGAAGATGTATTTAAAATTAGGAACCAAAAAAAATAAATCTCAATTAGATGAGAATATCTTTAAAAAATAGAACTCATTCATTTCAGTCTCAAGCACAGCTGGACGAGAATCATTGGAACTTAATATCTCTTTCTACAGTTAAGCATGCTAAAAATACTTTTCTTCACTGCAACAGGTTTCACTATGTATTTTCTAACGAGGAAAGAACAGAATAAGATATGGAAACAAATCTGGAATGACCTACTATTAAAGAGACCAAAAAGGATGCCAGAGAGAAAGACAGGAGGGCTTTGGGGAAGAGGTTCTTTAGACAAAAAGATTGTTTGCAGATTCCAAACTGTAAATACAGGGGTTTTAGACAACTACTGAAAACCAAGCAGTGTACAACACAAAGGACAAGAGGCTCTGTAAGCAGCTTCTGTTTTGGCAGAAGCACCCAGTTATCCAGAGACTACCAAAGCCTTCACAGTGCAAGACAGACAACTGCAATTTCTTGGCCATCTCTTTTAAGTCAGATAAACTGCACTTAGCTCTCAGATACATATACATCTTCTGCTTTGGTTTGTAGACCTTAACTCAACTTGCACCGGAAACAAGAGTTTACGTTTGACCAGGTAACTAATTCAGTCAAGCCACAGCTAAGCCAGCTGCAGGAAAAATGAGATAAAATGGAAATACAGGTGATCCTGATGATGAAGAGCTAGATCAAACGTTTGGAAGGTGCGACAACCTCTTGAAACACACTGCAGCACTAGTTAGTGTCTTAGAGAACAGGAGCTTCTAAGATGTAATCTACAGCAGCAGAGCCAGCTTGGGTTTGAGTATCTCAGGGATGGAGATTTCACAGCGTCTCTGGGCAACCTGCTCCCTCACAGGGAGGGAGTTCAATCACTCTCGCAGGAAAGAGGTGTTTTCTTAGTTCAGAAGGCATTTCCTGTGCTTATGTCTGCACTGATCCCAGGGGTACCACTATTGCCCAACCTCCAGCTGGACTTTGTGCCACTGATCGCAACTCGCAGCTGAGCTAGTTTTCCACCCACCTTGCTGATCACTAGCCCACTTTTTACCAGTTTGTCTGTGAGAATGTCAGAGGAGACGGTGCTAAAAGCTTGGCTAAAGTCAAGGTAAACAACAAGGTAAACAAGGTAAACAACATCCAGTGCTCTCCACTGACCCATTCTTGTCATCACAGAAGTCCAAAACCACCCCAAATTTACTTCCTTTTCAATGCCACTTTGTTTGAAACAATGACAACCCCCGTGAGTGCATGAATCACTGTTCTTATTGCTGCAGTGTCCAGAGCGTTCTGGGCAGGGACAGTTAAATGTTGTTTCCATCACAGTAAAAACATCACAGGCTATCTTAAATAATCCTGCATAATTATTTTAATATAATGCTATTTTCTTGAGAAAAGTTAACACTAGAGTATAGCACACACACCACCACTACGTGTTACTACTTTTGGTATCAAAATTCGTCAAAGTCCAACTTAGTATCGACCACGAGAGTGGTATGAATAAAAACATAAACAAGGTCAAGACAGACTGACCAAAGCAAGAGACTACAGCATGACCTTCAGAGTTTGTGCTGACACTAAAGGTACAAGTTGTCTTTTTACTTTACATTTGGAAGATTAAAGCACTGGCTTGTTAGTCATTTTTAAACAAAGTCAATGCCCCGAGGCAACAGAACTGTACTGGTATGTCAGGAGAAACTGCATCAGCCAGAGCTCATGGAGAACCCCTACTGGCCAGATTCTGACTTCACTGTGTTTCAAGTACAATAAAATATAATGAGAACTGTTTTTACTCATTAATTGTCAAAAATATGCTGTTAGCAAGTGTAATTAAGCCCTGCTTTTACAAGCAGCTGAACAGAAGTTCAGGCATGATCATTTCTTTTGGTGGGGTAATTGCTAGGGTGGCAAATGTAACCAATGTCTCAACTACTTCCTGAACTTTACACCAGCACACCATGCGCATGTTGATTTTTGCAACTATTGCAAACTGCAACTATTTGAACTCAAAATTGCTGCCCAGGCTTCTCAGAGTTGCTAGTATTTAAAGCAGATACTAAAGAACTCTGCGAAGAAGGGCACCATGAATGCCTGCTCTGTTGAGAGTAATGTTGGAGCCGAAGACACACGATTTTTGCACGGTTTTTATTTTTGAAAAGCTATCAATTTCCTGCAACCGAAACACATTACTTTGGTGTAGGGAAGGCAGCATATTTTAATTAAAGTCAGTATTCCAGGGAAACCTTGCCATATAAGCAGCAGTAACAACACGCGCTAGAACTGCCTGTGCAGTGGAGACTAATTATTTGTCCCTGTTTGGAAAGCAGAATAGTAAAAAGTCTATTTCAATGCATATCTGTGTTTTCTCTAAACACCACTTGGGCCTAACTGTAGCCGTTGTAACTCAAGTGCCTTCAAAGGAATTTAATCTGATACATTATACACACAAACTGTACAAACAGCTCCAACAGCCTGCCAAAGGTAACATATATTAAAAGGAATTAATAGCCTGAAAAAATACACTCCACAAACAGCATTACAATTGATGCTGCTTTGCTAGTTATTCTAGAGGGACATGGTATTAAAATGTAAAAATTCCACACTTAACAGATTCTCACCTAATAAACTTGTTTAGATACAAATAAAGCCTACAGTTTTGAAAGAAAAAAGGATTATTTTTTTAGAAACGACTTGTTATTCTACAGCATTTTTAGCAATTCAATTTAGATGCTGCAATCCTAGTCTCTTACACTCTCGTTACAGTGGTTCCAGAGCCTGTAAAATTTAAAATGAGTGCTCTTAGACTACTTTATTTGTACAGGGAGCTATATTTTAGGAGGAGTCAAAAGAGGAAGAATATAAAAACCACACTAACTACATGTACAACCTCTATTACACACAAAAGATGATTAGAAGTGAAGCAAACAGTAATTTAAACTACTTGCTAAGCATTATATATATATTCTATATACGCATATAATATTCTATAAAGTATTACACACATTATATATTTGTTATGCTCTTTCCTTCTACTCATAACAGAAAGAAAGGCACAGCGAGAACACAGATCATTTTAACGATCCGGCTTAGGAACACCTGACGATTTTAACGTTATTTTTCCTTTGGATTATTTTTTTAATCCAGGTTACAAATACAGCACCTGTAAGAAAATAAAAAAAAAAAAAAAAAAAAAAAAAAAAAAAACCACCTATAATTCAGAATTTAGTAGCTTTTATCTTCATGACCATGATTGGCAACAGAAAAACTGCTTTAACACACACACACTATCCCAGTCCCTTTAGTGTCTTTCATGACAGCCTGTATTTATGACATTGAAATGGATGAGGTGGAAAAAGCTGCAGGACCTGGCAGAAAAGGTAGCTCTGGTTTTGAAATCACAGAGTCACAGAGTTAAGTCTTTAAAAGAAGTACTGTTTTGAATGTAAGGACGTTTTGATTATGGTGCAAGAGCCTGAGGAATAATTGAGCCTCCACCTCTTAACAGTAAAAACAAGTCACCATTTTCCATGAAAAAAAAAATAGAACTATGAAAGATATCTACACAGGTAAGAATGCATCTATAGATGCTGAAAAGAAGGAGCTGTTAATGAAAACCAAGTTTAATCTTCATGATTTTAAAACCGGCAATCAGTATTCCAAAATCTAACAGAACAGAGTGACAGCTACAGCAGTAACTTGGCAGTTAGTCTCGTCAACTAACATTGTTATAGAGAATAACTGTCTGCTTGACTTCAGGTTTAGACTAAACTCTGCAAACGTTCATCCAGGCGGCATTTGTCATCTCTTAGTGTCGCGAAGACACTCACGGTTACAGACGTGCACATTTTCTGCAGCAGGCAGACAATACTGCACGTTTACAGAAACACTGTCACGGGAGATCCTATCAATGCCACTTATCAGAAAGATAAATTGACTAATTGAAAAAAAAAGTCAAATGGAGTAATTAATTTTTACAGAAATGATGAAAAAATAAGTTTCTAAAGCCAGGAAATTCATTTCTGCCCCAACTTATGCCACCATCATGCACATGGAAACATTATCCAAGTATCTGCAGGGCAGCTAAGCTGTAAGCTTGTTCCTTCTGACCTACGTCAAGCATTTAAGAAAGCCACTAAAGCACCAGTAAGATCTGGCACCACTATAGCACTGTAAGTAACAGCTCAGAAGCATCTTTTGCCCACTAGAGGGAGGCAGCTGATTGCAAACGAACGTGATTTGTAAACGCTACTCCTTCTACAGAAATACAGACGTACAAAAACCTCCATTTACACAATTCTGTAGCAATACAGTGTCAGAAGAGCTAATGGATGAAAGAGCAACACCATGACTACAGCATGTTCTTTTCGTTCAAGATAGTAATGCTAAACCTTAAAATAGCAGGCAAGGGCACTGCTGCTCTAGAGCTCACACAGTTTAAAGTATCCATGCTAAAACCGCTAGTACAAAGACCAAAAATCTGCATTCTTTGTATTTACACTAACAAGTATTATAGACACATAATGCAGTGTATAAAATACTACATATCTTATGTAACAATACATATACATACAGACACATAATAATAACACACAAATTTTTGCATTCTTTTTTCTTCACCTTTTCCAAACAATGAAACCCTTAGACACAAGAAGTGACTTCAAATGCCGACACCAGACCCAGACGCAGTGTTCACACAACGCTAACAACATGGTACTGCTTTACGCCCTGAATTCATCTGCTCCTCAGTCCAACTTTGGCAGGAAATCTTGTAAGAAGGAACCAAAAACCTGCACATCCCCGGAGCAGCCACATCAAAGACCCAGTGACAAAGCATGGCAACTAGTCAAACCCGGGCACGGAGACAGCCCCAGCGCAGCTCCTGCCCCACGCTCTGCCCGCAGCTGTGCGGGGCAAGGAAGCAAATCCATGGAAAGAGAGGGAGGAAACCCGCAATTTTGGATAGAGCTGGATCCACCACATGCTACCTGCACTAGGGAATCCCTGATTCTCCATTTCTCAAACACTCCCGAGATCTTTGCAAAACAACAAAGGAGTTGGAAAGAAAAGGGAGGAAAGCAAGCTGCCCTATACTTCATGGAGAGGTTCATGGCTCCAGGTCCTGTTTATCAGGATAAACGTGGTAATAATAAATAGCAGTCACTAACATACTAACAGTGGAAGCAGCTTTGCGCTCACATAGAAGAAAACACATGTCTGAACAAACACTCATGTCCTTCCCTGATACAAATTTGCTATTTAAATATACTTTGCATCAGTATTTTGCTGTATTTTACAGAGCCTTTTAGTCAAATAGAAATAGTATTTGTGCATTTCTCGACAAAAACTTGCCTAAATAATTATGAAAGACTTTAAAAAATACAGTTTATTCCGATAGAAAACTCCAAATACATTAAGGCTTTAAAAAACCTCTTTCACTACATTTCAGGGAATACTAGGTTAATGACAAACATTTATTAGAGCAAAATGGTACATATGAGAAAATAATTATAAACATTAAGTATCATTGCCTTTTTAGTTTAAGAAGAAATTTTAAGTACTGGATTTAATTTCTATTAAAATTAAACTACACTGTATTTGAAGTCTTTTGTAAAGCACCTAGCACCACTTTTTAATCTATTTACTTAGCAAGATTTAGAGCATAACTACAATCAATGTGCATACAAAAAGAGAGCACTGAGAAACACCATCCTTTAATTTAACAGCTAAAACAGAGAGCAGCCCACCTCACACTAAGCACTGAGGTTATTTTCATTAAGCAGTGGATAATTACTGCTCCAGAATATTTCTGTTCCTAGCAAAGACAAAGCTGTATTCCCTTCACCCACAGCTAAACTTCAGGTATTGGTAAAGGGAGATAGGGATGAAGCAGATAAGGGGAATCCTTAGGATCGGAAGGATTCAAAAGGAAGCTGCATACAAAGCAGTTTTTATTAACTTGTTCCTTATTAAGAGTTTACTCTACCTGATTTAGTGAAATCAAATTTTGATTTTTCAACAGTGACCTACGATGCCTATTTTGCTTATGAAGGTAAATGAAAGAAAAGCTTCAACTGAGAAAGAAATTCAAAAGGTGAAGCTCAGAGACTGGAGAAGGAAAGGAAGCAATCAGCCAGAGGTCTGAGACATGCAAAAAATAAAATAAAAATCACAGCCCCACAGCAGCAAACTTCTATTGTCTTATGTATGGATGAAGAATAGTTGGAGTCAGTCTTCCCTCTGATAGTTGTTTAGCTGAGCCATTGGCAGAAGTTCTTCATAACGCATCACCCTTCGAACACATCAGCCCACAACACGCCATAAAATATTCCTGAAGTTAAATTCTGATGTTTTTAGTTCTAAAAAACTCAGATAAAAACAACATAGTAGGCATCTTGTTCTTATAAAGCCTGGCTGTATATGATACATCACAGGCCAGCTTGCAGAACTAAATTTAAGAAGCTGCTTTTTAAAATGAGTCCTAGTGATAATGTGTATTAGAATTCGAAATTCATTTTCAAACATCGTTTTTTAAATTAGAATCCCAGATGACAAACAAAGGTGTCTATGCAACTCATTCAGTTTTATCCCCCAAACTCACTATTGGAATATCAAGCAAATACATAAAATGCACATTAGGATCTAATTCTAGTCTTACTGATTTAAACTAGCCTTCACACATCCTTGAAATTAAAATAATTCTTTTACAAGCAAGATTTGTAGTTTAAAACACACATATATAAGATGGATCTCAGGCTTTTCTTTTCCTTATCTACCATCGCAGTATCTGCCCATTTAGGTCTGACTACAGGGTAAGCTACAAAGCTTTAACAGTTTCTAATTCCTTCAAATCCCTTTCTTTTAAAGGTGTATCACGCAGAACTGCTGACATATACATACTAGCATTTAGAAATAGCCTATTAACTCCTGTCCACAGCTAAATTATATAGGCTTCATTACTTCAAATTTGTTCATGTCACCACCTCCCTCCCACGTGTTTTTAATCTTCTCCTAAAAGTTGTTTTTTTCAAACAAGGGCAGCTTAAAAATGGATTAGGTCTGACTCTTGTATACCTTTCACTATGATATTAGATTTCCTCATTACCATACGCAGAAGTACCAAATTAAACTTGCTCTAGTTTTGGCTACATTTCTATTTCCACTACCAATTAACACTAAGTTAATTTTTAGGTATTTTCTTCAGTCCCCCCTAGAAAAATCTTCAGACCTTTGTGAAACCTTTCAGGGAAGTCATAAGTTGCTCTTTACGTTTTGTATGCCCTGCTAGGAACATTCTCTATTGACTCTTAATGTCATTTTACAGTACCAAGATTTTTCCTCTCTATTCCCAAAACTGTGTGTTGTTATATAATTATTCCTTACTGGGCATTATTTAAGAAGTCTGCCTCCATTTTTAACTAACATAGGCAAACTTTAAACTATTGACTACTTTCCACTATGAATTCCACAATTAAATGTCAAACATCTGGTAACAGCTGTCATCGATTATCTTACCAAGCCTGGTACCAAAAGCCTTAAATATTTTAAGCATTTTACGACATAAAAGGAATAGTGGCAGGAGGTTAATAGGAACTGACCTATTCTAGTGTAAATGTCTATCCAACTGCTGAGGGTTTTTGATAGCTGATTTTCACCCAGTTTAATTGGTTCTTAAAAAAGGAGGATTACAGACATTATGCATCAGCCTTAATCAGTTATACAACTAACCTTTTGCTCCGTGTGCAGTTGCTCACATCTCTGCTTTTCATGGTTAAGTTCTTTTTCCAGTCTTTCAACTTGATCTCTGAGTTGTGCAGTTTCCTTTTCCAGAACACCAGTTACCTTTAATAGCTCTTCTTTCTCTTTTATTATTTTTTCAATTTTAAACTGTAAAAACAAAAGCATTCTTTTTTGATAATTTTTCTCCTCAGGATTCCTATTAAATAAATGGATGACTAGTTTACTCCTAGATTTAAGTAGAACACATGCATTCTCTGGCTAGGTTATTTTAGCTTCCTTTTTCCTCCATTTCTGCAATTTCATTCTTTTAACTGTCTAGTGCTACATCACCATTAGACAGCGCATTTTGTAGTGTCTTTATTTTTACTCAAGTTTTCCTCCTTCAGTGAAGTGCTTTTACTGTTCCCAAGTGACCACAACTGTGGAAGAGCTAATTAAGATGATGACAGCTTGGTGAGAAAAAGCTGTTGAGTGTAGACACACACATTAAAACAATGTTTGAGTAATTTCATGAAATCCTGAATGCACACATATCCAGAAGTAAGGAGAGGCACGTGAACTGGAACAGTCACAAAGGTTTGGAAAAGCCTATCCTCTGGTATGGAACTGGATTTTATACTCCCAAGACTAGAGAAGCAGAAATAATTCAGTTGTATGTCTGTACAGAGTCTTCTGTCTTTAAATTTCGAAAGCTATAAATCAAATGTGTTATATAACGTGCATAAAGGCAATCGAAAGAATAACAACATCTGCTGGCAATTTTCCGATCAGTTTTCTGAAAAATAACCCATACAAACATTTTCTTAAAGTAGGGTTCAGCCTACGAAACTCCAAACAGGTGGAAATGTCTTGACTCTGGATGCAAGCATACAAGTCTACATATAAGAAATTATAAAGACAAAGGCAGCATAAGTAGAAAACTACTTTAAGAAAAATGAGCTATTTAACTTGTTTAGGCACCTGCAACTCCTCAGCTCAGTTTCGAGTACTCTTCAGCTGTGTACAAACAAGAGCAGAAGAGTTACTCAGTTCTACCTTTCAGTAAGCAAAAAACATGTTCTTTTCCCATCCTCCTCCAAACAGAAAGCTGTATTTGAAACACTGAGCTATTTACTTACTAGAGTGGACAGTGCAGATGGGGGAGGTGAGCAACTTTTATGGCTTCTTGGTCTATCCTCAGTGCAATACCATACCTGCAACCACTTTAAATATTTACTCGCTTAACCTGCAAGTGGTCTGCAGCCTCACCTAGCAAATCTTAAACAAAAAGCTAGAAATGTGCCTAACAAGCAGATGGGTAACAGTCTAGGTGAATCAAACCTCGAGTAGTCCAGCCTTCGTTGTCACCACCAGCATATCAGAGTTTCCTTCATCCTCCATGGTGAGCAACTCTTCAACGGGGGACGAGGTGCGAAACTGGAAGGGAGTGCTGGCCCCCCGGATCTCGCCCTTGTGCGTCACGTAACAGAACTGGTAGAACTCCCCATCGTCATTTGGCAGATAATACCCTATCAAAATAAATTTGCATTTAAAGAATCATTTATACAGAAATAGATTCATTATGCAAGTCTCCATCTTGAAATGTATTATTAGATCACATATGACTTAGGCTTTCACACTCAGCACAAAACTGTCAAATGGTAGAAGGTAAAGCCATCATATTTAGTAAATCCCCGCCCCAGTGTCCTCACTTCTATTATTACAGAACATGGAGGCTTAGAAGAAATATCAGGTAAGAGGTGCTATATATAAACATCACCTTATAACACATTAGATAATAGCTGAACATATGCATATGAAGTAATTTAGTCATGAGTAATGAAAAATCCTGAAGTTTTAGAAGTGGATCAGGACGGATTATGTAACTTGTAAAAAACACAGAAAAAAAATCCTAGTACCCCTCCAATCACTTATTTTTATTCTGTCTTTATTTGTTGTTTTGATTCTATAAAGTAGAGCAAGAAGTCAGCAGCTTTATCAAGTTCAAAGTAAAGGTTCTGTTTCACATGATTGCATGGAATAAAAAATAAAATTACTCACACCACTATTGCACTAGGTGCCAAAGCAAAGGATTCCTCTGAATGATGGATCACACAACGTGATCCATTCTGCAACCACTGACAGAAAAATAAGCTTTTTATTTTAAGCTTTTTAATAAGTTTTTTATTTTATTTAGTTTTGCTTAACTGAGAGTTTGTTTTCTGAAATTAAGAAAAACATTTTGTTATTGTTTTTCTTCCAGTTTTTCTTGAGGAAAGAACAGATCACCTTTCATACATATATATATCTATATTCTTTTATATATATATATATATATGTAAGATTACATATCTATATTAGCAGATTATTTCAGAGTGACTGTTGAATTCAATTGTCGTTCACTATATCTTCAAATCCCCTTATAACACCTAAACTCACACGTTTGTGGGTGTTAAATCATCACTTCCAGAACAACTGACATTTTTACCTTTACTAGTTAATACAAGAAAGTACACGCTACTCAATTTAATGCTAAAAAAAACTACCCAGCTTAATTTGGAACACTGAATTATCAGACACCCTAAATAGCTGGGGAAGATACCACCATACTAAATCCTCATCTAACATTTGACCTACTGAGTCCACTTTATTTTTAAATAAATATTCAGTGGCAGGTGCTGTCATCCATTTCTGTCCACATTTCACCATGATTTAACCTATTTACCCTTCCATTACCTTTCTTATCAGTAGGTTCCATCCCCCAACTAAATGTCCAGTACTTCTAGAAACAGATGTTGAATGCCACAAAAATTTAAAAAACGGTTTGTCATAAACAGCTCATTTCCACATGCACCCACACACTCTCTCACACACAAACTTTCCTCATTCTATCAGGCTATATAATTCAGTTTGCCCATTATCAGAGATGAGAAAAATACCAAAAAAATGCCTGAAATAAAAACATAATCTACATTTCTAAAGTCACTTTTAAGTGCCATCTAAATAATGAAATCAAAACATAACTAAATTAACTAAAAACTCCTCCTTAACTAAAATCTCCCCCAAAAAGGTCTGATAAGATTCTAGTGAGAGTTAAAACAAACAAATAAAGAAATCAGGAATTTCTTTCACACACATACAAGTCAAGCATAGCATCAGAATCTCTACTTTAATTAAACATTTAACTTTTATTCCAGACACTCTAAAGATTTTTCATGGTACTCTTATCTTCTCTCCTAACGAATAGAAAAATTCTCTGCACAGCCAGCACTGATATTACACAACACTTCATTTTCAATGGCTCTTGTACTTTATTATGTGTAGCTCAGGGAGGAATAGGTTAGTGTGGAAAAAGGTCCGAATTCTGTACTTATGGAATCGACTGCATTTTCATACAAATGACTGCAGTTTTAAGTCCCTTTTATGCAATTCAAAGTTTAAATATGGTGGAGCTACACACTAATTCAGAACAATTTATCCTGCAACTCCAGAAGTTTTTAGTTCGTTGAAGTTGATTTTTAAAATCTTTTGTCTGGTGTCAAAGATGTACTAGAGAAAACAAACTCCTGTAATCTTTTTCCCTTGGCATACCTATTTGATCATACAAAGATACTCAAAGCATGTTGTACAACAGTCCCATTTATCTCAGATAATGACCCTCCTGTGAGCTTTAACCATCTCATCTCAGTAGCGCTAAAATCTCAGGATAAAATCCTAAGATTGTTAGAATGGACATCTGGTAGCTCTGCAAAAAAGATGGACTTTGAGCAAAGAAGGTAACAGATGACACCATCTGTAAACTGTAGCACACAGAAAAACACCAGATAACTCAGAAGGACTGATAAGAGGATGCAGAGCCCTTGGTTTCTGCATGACTCATAGTCCAAGTCTAATCCAGTGTTCTTCAATACTATCCAGTGCATTTTTAATAACTGTAGGAAAATGGATGAGTTTCTCAGTTTCTAGAGCAGAAATTGTTTCACAGAGAATGTGAAATGTTTCATATTCTGTGTTTCATGGAATTTGAAGTTATTTTCCTGATCTGACTATTTTCTGATCAGGTTATATGATCACCATCAAAGCTAACAGAAAACTTGGCTAGAAGGCAACAGAAAGAACAGCAAATGAACTCCAGCTAGTATTATTTGCAGCTGCAGTCAAAATCATCATTTTTAATAAGTCAACCAACCAATCCAGTAGCCCTCCTGGACTTTAGTGCTGTATGATATACATACACATACATATGTACAATATAATAAAGAGTAAAGCCAACTGCAGGGGGAGAGGAGGGGAAAGCGATAGAAAAATACATGATACTATTTAAAAGTCAGGTATTACTCAAAATAACAGGAAAATTTAATGGGGTGCTTTTTTAAAATGCAGATTTGTAGACCTATAGACATGTCTAGATCTATAATACACAGAAGTTCTACATATTCGCTTTACACCACCTCCATCTCTGAAGCTGTCACCTGTTAGCCTATATTGACAGCTCCTACTAAAGTATTAATAATAAAAATAAGTATCATTATCCACTTACCTTCCATCCTATTTTTCATATCTAAAGTTAGAGTAAACACAGGTGACAACAACAAAGCACATCGAGAACATACGTGCAAAAATCTTTTCCAATTTATGTTTTTAAAAACCTAAAATGGTTACACATCGTTTTAACCTATAGTTCTTTAGATCAGTGAAAGCTAGAGAGAGCCAGTAAATACAGGTAGATGCTGCATTCTTTTATTACCTTGAAATATCAGCACACAATTAACAGTTGATCCTTCCACATAATTTTCTGGCATAGGTGACCAAACGAATGTGTAATAATCTCTTGAAGTACTCCAGCCAACCTGTAATAAACCACAACAACAAAAAAAGAAAACATTAAGGAGAAGAATTCATTAAACACAGTTAAGATAGCAGGATCTGAGCTTTACAACATACTGTAATACGTGTATTTCAGCTTCAGCATGCAATAAAAAGATATTTAACAATGTTTACAAATCAAGAATATTTTAACAAGCCTGTCAAAGATTTAGCATGAATTTTATTAAGCTTGTTACCTGAGGCAATAAATGGGTCTAGGCAATAAAAGGGTCTATATAAATTAAAACACCAGACAGTTTTCACTGTATATTAAACTACTATTTGGTATACTATATTTAAATTTTTCTATAAAGATACATTAGTATGTTGAAAAACCAGAAAGATTGAGAAGCTAGTACTAAGATGTTCCTAAACATCTTATGCAAGTTATGCCATGTTGACTGCTTTGTGATGACAATCCAAGAGGAAGATCAGAAAATAAAAAGCTGTTAATGAAAACAATGGAGAGGACAGCTGTTTTTTTGAAGTTAAAGGGCCAAATTTGACAGGCCTGGAAGACTAGCACTATTTTGAAAACTTCTCATGCAGCATTCACTGAAATGCTAACTCTTCCTTACATACATGAAGTCTACAGGAATACATATATATATGTATATATATGTACGTGTGTGTGTGTACACACCTATATGCAGGCTATTGGCAAAAACACAGCTATGGTAAATCAAAACCTTGGGGGCAACACCCCGAGCAATTTACCTGGCACATTTTCTCCAGCAAAGCCTGGTCTCCTGCCACCCAACATCTGCTTTCCCTACCGTATCTCCCCTTCTCCCCATCTTCTACTGTTTTGATCCCTACAATAATTTGAATGTTGTGTGTTTAGGATTAAAGGTATCTGAGTATGTGAATTACCCCATGGCTCTTTTCAAATGAGTAAGATTAAGAGACATTGATCTAGAGAATATATGTGTGAAAAAGTGACACTGCAAAGAAGAAAATGCGAAGAAACTCTATCTTCCTTGTGGATGCATAAATTTAAAATGGGATTGAGTAGTGTTGCTAACACCACTCTTCTTGCTGCAGAACGCACAATGTCCTTACTGGGTAATGACAACAATGAACTTCCACAGGATTACATTTTAAATGACAGAAAGGATGAAAATGAAAACATGCTGAGAAGAAAATAAAGACAGAAATAAGCAATGGATGTTCTAGATTTAGATCTAGCTCTTCAAATATTTTAACTCAATCTTTTGGTACTCTACATCTTTTGTGATGATATTTTCTTTCTAAACTAAATCTGAAGCATCTTACTGTATTTTACAAATACAAATTCCTCTTACATGATCATAACCTTCTCTATGGCAAGACACTTTGATAAAGATACTTTTTTCATCTCAAAAGAAAAACAAATAGTTGCATAAAAATAGGATTAACAATAAAAGAAATTAAGACTGCTCAAGAGAAAGGAAATTAAGAACTGAGATAAAGCATAAGATAAAGTCAGTTGCACAGGCCAGCGGAAACCAGAGAAAAAACAATGGAGAGAAGGATGGGGATGCTGGTCAGCAAGTCCTCAGTGCTTTTATTTCAACAAAAACAAAACTGTGGCTCTGGAAGCAAAATTTATAGCATCCTTCTCATCAAGCTTACTGGCTGGCAGAAAATACTTCTCTTTTAACAAAAGGCACCAGAAAAGCAGGTCTCTCTCTCTCTCCCTCTGATGCTAATCAGTGCAACACGGCTTATTCTAAACACAACAGACACAGTCTAACCAGGCCAGGTCAGCTAACAGAAAGGTGTGGTACAGGAGGGAAGGAGTCGTCTGAACTCCCCTTGCGGATCCATTTGTTGTGAAGATCTTACTTGCACTATACTGAAAAAAAAAATCTATTTGAGGCCAATGTGAACCCAAGTCATCCTTTTCTAAGACAAAATTAGAAAGAGATGTAATATTACAAAAAATAGTCCATGCAGATTTGTTTTGGGCGCAAGTTGAAGGTCTTCTTGTACACACAACAATCTGTATTTTGTTCATCTTCCTAGGAATAGTATCAGACCCGAAAGGTCAGATGGTTCAACAGGGAGCAGTTGTTAAGTGGCTCTGTAACTTCTAATTACTCTTAGCATCAATCAGGAGCGCATACCAGAGAAAACCTGAGGGGCTTTTTAAAGTAAATATATTACCTACTGCAGGCCTACAGTTATTTAAATGGCCATCTTCTGTGAAAGCTCTAAGATTTGATTCTGATTTTGAAGCAGAGACTAAAACACAGAGTTTTCTAGTCAAAATATTGCTTAATTCTGAAGTATAAATAAAACTTATCTTTTGAGACAAATAATAATTTTTTAAAAAATCAGTCCAGATGTTCAATTTCCAGAAGCACTCCCTCAAAGAGCTAATAAAGATTATCCCATCCGCCTGCAAAATTCTTTGCAGTTGATGCTCCAGTTCTTAGGGTGACGCAGCCTCTTCAACCCTGTTGTATTTACACTGATAGCCACCCACGCACCCCTGCTCTTGCTGTATCTTGTCAAAATTGATTTTGATTCTTCAAATCCTCAACCCTATCTATACAGGAGAACCCAGGAAAACTCCCATAGGACTTGAAAATTACGATAGCAGGTAGAAGCACAGAAATCCTATGATATTCAAGGAATTTTCTGCACAAAAACAAAAGGAAATGGAACTTGTTCCCGTAATTTCCACCCGAATTCTCTCTAGTAACTTTCTGGAATTACAAAATGCAAAGCATGTAATTTCATGTGCTATGTAATTTCTACAGATATTCAACTAAATCTTTACCCTAGAAATTCACAGCAGTTATTCTGTCCTGTTTCACATAATTCAAATTCTAGATGCCCAAGACCTAAGAAAATTGTCAGTAATTTCACACCAAAGCAGAAAACAGAAATACGTAACCGAAGCAACCGAAGCATTAAATGTGAAGTAAAAACACACACACATACTTTTTAGTCTAATTCAAAGAACTAGGTATTGGTCAAGGCGGACATTAAAAGACCCCTATCCTGACACACACACATAAAATATTTAAGAATTGTACAGCAAAACCTTGGGAAGTTAGACGAGGGAAAAAGATGGCAACCCTTCAAACAAAATACAGGACTTGCAGTGAACTCTTAGCCAGTTCATCATCACATGTCCTTGCCAATATCATTGTTTTGTAAGGAAATCATCCAAAATTCATGAAGTATTTAATTTTAAGATTTAATTTAATTTTAATTACAGATTTAATTGCTCCCTCCAAAATCCAATCTTCTTTGACCAAAAAAAGTTTTAAATTATATTGACTGTGGGTGTTTTGATTGCACTGATTAGTTACTTGCATCAACTTCAAACAATTAGCTATTATTATTAACTAACTCAGCCTGTAAACCTCTCCACTTTTCTACACCTAATTCCCAAATATCATTTTCAGAAAACCTTTTCTAAAATGGAAAGCTGACAGTGCATTCCAACCCCCTTGCTTTCCCTTGATTAACAATCCAGAATGCTACACTAAATCCTTTCTTCCATCTTCTTAAGTCATTCTATTAAACAAAAATACGAAATATTTGACTACACATCCATCATATCCCATTATGCTACCATGTACAAACAATGTTACTCAAAAATCTTATTTAATTTCTTATCTTTCCATAAAATAGAAAACTTTAGGAAGACATTGTGGAGTAATTCATTTACTGTATTTCAGCTTCCTACTGTAACATTTATTACCTTGTGCGTACTCTACGCTTCAGAGTAAACAGACTTATTCCATCTTAAAATATCCTGAACTATTTGTTTTGTTACACATGCACCAATTTGGATGTGAAAAGGCACAGGGATTTGAAATGTTGAAGACCAGGAGTTTAAGATGCCCAATGCTGAGAAGTTCTTCAATTTGGCTGGGAACTGAGAACAACTCCACTGCCAACAGTGCTCTCATCAGACAGCACCTCCTTCTCCTGAAGCTTTCATCGTGACTGAAAACCTTTCTCATATTCAGCAAAGGAAAAAAAAACAATCACCAAAAAACACATACTTGGGAATCATCTGCATGTCTGATTTATCAAATACATATTTGAGGAAAAATAATGAAAAAATATTTTATTTTACTGTTCCTCCTTTAGCATCTATTTGATTTAATCTTACACAAAATGCAAGTTTTCCAGGATACAAACGCTGCCTCATAACTGCACAGTGCTTATCATGCACAAACACGTTCCACTTTCAGTTTTAGTTTCTTGAACTAAAGCTGAAAGTGGAGCTTTTTTTAAAAATGGAAAAAAAACAAAACAACATCTAGAATTTGGTGAGACCTTGTGAATTTGGTGTGACCTCTACTCAGCTCTGGCGAGGCCGCACCTGGAGTACTGTGTGCAGTTCTGGGCACCCCAGTATAGGAGGGACGTGGAGCTTCTCGAGAGGGTCCAGAGAAGGGCAACCAGGATGATTAAGGGAATGGAACATCTCTCGTATGAAGAGAGGCTGAGTGAGTTGGGCCTGTTTTCTCTGGAGAAGAGACGGCTCAGAGGGGTATGATTAATATGTATAAGTTCAGGAAGGGAGAATGCAGGGAGGAAGGGGACAGGCTGTTCTCACTGGTGGCCAGCGATAGGACGAGGGGTAATGGCCACAAGCTGAAACACAAGAAGTTCCGTCTCCAGGTGAGGAGCAACTTCTTTACTGTTAGGGTGACAGAGCAGTGGAACAGGCTGCCCAGGGAGGTTGTGGAGTCTCCTACTCTGGAGGTCTTCAAAACCCGCCTGGATGCCACCCTGTGCCACATGCTGTAGGTGTGCCTGCTTGAACAGGAAGGTTGGACTAGATGATCTGTAGAGGTCCCTTCCAACCTTAAATATTCTGTGAATCTGTGAATTACTTATTCAATCTACTTCAATTCCCTTTATCCCAAACCACCATTCCTGGTATTTACAAACTGGGGGGAAAAGAGGCGGTAAGGGCTTTTTTTGTAATTTCTTTCCTACTTTACTCATTTCCCCTCTTTTTATAATATCT